GTGCCGGAGCCTGGGACCGTGGGGGTGGCTGGGGGAAGTAGGACATGGTCCTGATGGCGCCTCACTCACGGGGCTCAGGGGGATGTGGGGCAAGGCCAGCTAGTGGGGGACACTCTGTTCCCAGGGTCAACCTTGCCTCCGATGACTCCCTGGTGTCCTGTGAGAAATTGGAGAATCCGAAGTTTGTTGGCTATGGCGGGTTTGGTGCGGTGTTCCGGGCACAGCATAGGACCTGGGGCCATGATGTTGCGGTCAAGATCGTGGACTCGTGAGCGATCCCTGCCCTGGGCGGCTGGGACTGGCCAAGAAGGCACAGCCACTGTGCTGAGTGGGGAGGGGAGAGGATGGGAGGAGAGGGGAGGGAAGGGGAGGGGACAAGAAGGGAGGGTAGGCGAGGCGAGGGAGGGCAAGGGAGATCTTCCCAGGACCCAGGCTCACTGCAGCTCTCTGTCTGGAGTGTAGGGAGGAGATATCCAAGGAGGTGAAGGCCATGGCCAAGCTTCGTAATGACTACGTGCTGCCCTTGCTGGGGGTCACTGAAGCCCTGCATTGGGACCACATATCCGGGCCCGCTCTGGTGACTAGATTCATGGAGAACGGCTCCCTCACTGGACTGCTGCAGCCTGAGTGGTCTCCTGAGCGCCCTCGGCCCTGGCCTCTTTGCTGCCGCCTATTACACGAAGTGGTGCTGGGAATGAGTTATCTGCATGATCTGGAACCAGAACTTCTGCACAGGGATCTCAAACCCTCAAATGTCCTGCTGGACTCGGAGCTTCATGCCAAGGTTAGCACATCTACAGCCCAGGGCAGAACCCATCCACCCTTCAGACACAAAGCCTTTGGTGGCCCTGTCTGTTGAATACCTTCAATTGCCTCCTTAGAGCATGAGACTGCTTAGGCTTCAAATTCCAACCAGGAGTTTCAGCCCAGGCCATATACCACTAGGCCTTCCAGAAAGTGATGGCCTCATACAGCTCTAGCCTGGGACTGCCTTTTAGCAGGCCTCAGTTGCCCACCCAAGGCCTCTCTGACTCTCTCTTTCCTCCTTAAGCTGGACCTGCATGCTCTAGGGGACAGAGAATTTGGGAGGCCTCCTGGCTCCTTCAGCCAGTATCTTCTTTCTTTCCTTTGCAGCTGGCAGATTTTGGACTATCCCAATTTCAGGGAAAGTCACTGTCAGGGGCAGGATCTCTGGAGTCAGGAGGCACCCTAGCCTATTTAGCCCCAGAACTGTTAGCTAATGTAAACCAGAAAGCTTCCAAAGCCAGTGATATATACAGGTAAGATACCTACTCCACCTCCCCGCCCCCCTTCCCCAGAGGGAAGAAATCCCTCCCCCCCTCCCTAAGCTTCTAAAGGAACTTTAGTTCAAAAGAATTTTTTTTTGGTCCATCATGAGGCTTGAACTCAGGGCATTGGTGCTGTCTCTGAGCTTTTTTTTACTCAAGGCCAATGCTCTACCACTTCGAGCCACAGCTCCAAGTCCTCTTCCAGATTTCCACACCTTTTCTGGGCTCTTCTAGAGGATGGTGTGGGGAGAGAAGTTTTTGTAGTGGTTGGCCAGGCCTCCATCTTATGTGTCTTACAGCTTTGGAATCCTCATGTGGGCGGTGCTAGCTGGAAGAGAAGCAGAGTGTAAGACTGTAGCAGAATCTGGGATCCTTAATACTTGGGTGTCCTCTTCCTGAAAGCCCTGAGCCCTCCCTTTCCTGCTTTCCTGTCTTCCCCCCTCTCCTCCCTCTCGGATGATACTCCCTGCTCCTCTCCATGGTTGAACCAATATCCTCTCATACCTTGAATGCTTCTTCTTGCCACCCCTACCCAACTTCAGTTGTGCCCGAGTCACTAGTCTGTGATCAAGTCAGTGGACGGCACATCCGACCCCCACTGTCAGAGTTGCCTCCATCCAGCCCTGAGACTCGTGGCCTGGAAGAACTGAAGGAGTTGATGCAGCGCTGCTGGAGCCATGAGCCCAGTGAGAGGCCCGACTTCCTGGGTGAGCTGGCCATTTCATTGGCAGCGAGGATAGACTTAGGTCTGTCAGTACGGGGCCTTTGCAAGGGAAAGAAGTTCTGCTGGCCTACAGTTCATCCTTCTGTCTTTCAGACTGCCAACCAAAAACCAAAGAAGCCTGCTCCTTCGTTCAGGACAAGATGGATGCCACTGTCCTCATGGTGAGTCGCCCTGGTGAGCATTCAACACCATCCTCCACCTAGAAGCTGTTCAGAGATGACTCACATGGCTCCCATTGTGCTCCCAATGACTCCCCATGGACCATTGTTTGTGTTGCCTGGGCTAGCTTTGAACCATGGATTCTCATATGTTAGCCACCTGAGTAGCTAGGATGACAGGTGTGAGCCACTGGCACCCAACATTGGCCATTGTTCTTTATGTCTTCGCCCTCATTCCTCTCCTCCTCACCCGACCCTGAGTTCCCAGACCACAGTGGATGGACCAAGAAACTACTCCCTCACGTTTCCTCTGGCTTTTTTAAACTCATGCCTTGCAAGTTCCTCCTGTCCCTACAGGTGAAGACATTTCTATCTAAGGATAGGAACAGCAACTGGAGCTTGTCTGTTCCAGAACTGGACCAGAGAGGACCAGAAATGGATGGCTGGGAGACAAAAACTACTAGAAGCCAGTGCTCTTCAACTGGGTCCACAGTTTCTGAGATGTTAAACAGCCTGACTCTAGATAGAGTTCCCAGCACATATCCTGAAAAAGGCACAAGACTTACTAAGGAGAGTACAGCACAGGAAGAGAAGGGCTGGCATTCTGGGAGAGTAGGAACATCTGCAGATTCAATGGCCAGAACTCCTCAAATACCCGAGACTTTACATTTTAGAAACCAAATGCCTAGATCCCCTCCAGGACCTGGCCACCAAAGGAATCAGGTGAGGCAAATCTAAAATATATCCCCTCATTAAGAACTTAGGGGATGTTCAATGGGGAACAAGGCTCTAGGACAGGAGGCCTAAGTGTTCTGTGTTGTTTGTAGGGGGCTCAGAGAAATGATGGAAACTGTTCCTTCGGGACCTCAAGGCCAGGTACACATTCCCCAACCCATCCTTTCTGCTCAATTTTTATTTATTTACTTAAGCACTTTCTTCCTTAACACCTGTATAAAAATCCACGTGAGGAGAAAGGACTAGAGATTATCTAACCCAATCTCATTTCATAAGTAAATTGTTACCCAGTGAGAGAGGCAATACAGCAAAGCTTGGATTTTCTTTATGGGTGTGCTAGCACGAGAGCTTGAACTCAGGGCCTGGATGCTATCCCTTAGCTTTCTCACTCAAGGCTGATGCTTTACCACTTGAGCCACAGCTCCACTTCCAGTTCTTCAGTGTTTAATTAGAGATAAGAGTCTCATGGACTTTCTTGCTGGGGCTGGCTTCAAACCATGATCCTCAGATCTCAGCCTTCTGAGTATCAAGGACTACAGGTGTGACCACCAGGGCCTAGCACAAGGCCTGGATTTGCTACTAAGTCTTCTAACTTTGTATAGCAGCAAATCTGTGATCTCTTCAGTTACCACTGTTTCAGGCCTTGAAGTCTAGCAGGCTTTCCAGCTGAACTCGAATATTAGTCCCTAATCCTATTGAGCTTCTGCTAGACCACTTTTGAAGTAGCAGCCAGAGTGGAAGGCACAGGACACCTGGAAACAGCCTCTGGCAGGCCTACGGACCTCATTCTTGAACTTGCCTAGATTGAACACAAGGTGTCGCTGCCCATGCCATAGCTAACCTCTTTCCACCACTAAACCTTCCTTCCCGCTCAACATTACTCTTTCTCTTAAAGGGTCTATGACCTTCTCCCACTGCATTGGGGTGCAGATTGGAAGCTACAACGAAATGACTGTACCTATGAGACCTGACTTTCCTACGCAGAGACCAGCACCATCTCCCATGCGTAGGGGTTGGCAGCCCCCCTACAAGTAGGTTCAACAGAAAGCCTGCAAGAACCTATGCCAGAGTGGGACCACACAGTAATCACAATGGAATAAAAGCAAAAGAGCTAAGCTGCCAGCAAGAGTCAAAACAGCCAGCATCACCTTCTCAACATTTGTCTTCGAAGACTGTCAGACTAGTGCCCAAACTTGCTGTAATTTAGCCCTCAGGAAACAATAAATGTATTTGAATGCCAGCAGGATGCAGGAGTCATTAGTCAGGGTGGGGGGGGATAGGGATAGGGGCACAGGAGTTGGGGAGGAGGAAACACGTATTAAACCGGGAAGGGAGAGATACGGGGGGCTGGAGGTAGGCAACTGTCCAGGCACAGGAGGTCAGGGCCCAGCTGGTGACAGGAAGGAATCCCAGACCAGGCTCCCGGTGCTCTAATCTCTGGGAGGAGCGCTTCCTGTGGAGCTCACAAATGACCCCACCTCCCCTAAACCCAAACTCACAGGACAGAGAACCCCTTTTCACCCCCCACTTCTGACACTGGGCTTTCCTCCATGCAGGCTCACACACAACTTGCTTTGTAGGCTTAGCTGGCGTCCAGCACTACCCAGCAATGTTTTCGATTCACCAGCGCCCTGACCCGGGAAGCTAGAGATAGGCAGAGACTGGACAGTGTAGACGGGGGCCATGGGAGCTGCCAGAGAGCACCAGAATGGTCCAGAACTCCATCCCAGCCCCCATCTGCCAGCAGGACCCGCGCTCTTCCCAGCCTCCTAACCAGGCCTCACTACTCCAGGGTCGCGCTCGCAGTCTCCCCTCACCCGCGCATCCTGCCCCCTCGTTTTGACACATCCCATCCGGCCACCCCACCACCCCACCACCCCGTGGGGTCTCCCCCTGTCCATACTCCCTGTCCTGGAGAGGCCGGAGTGATATGGGCAATGGTTAGGAGACACAATCTGAGCTGGGGAGGAGGCCAGGAGTATCCCGCTCTGGCACGGGAAGGGGCCGGGCCGTCTCTTCGGGGAAGTGGGAAGTGGGAGGGGGCCACGGCGCCTAGAGGGAAGCGACTGTCGCCCCGAGGCACTAAGACGAGACCCTGCCGTGGGGACAAGCGGGACGCCACCTCCAGCCCCTAGGCGCCCTGCTGGAGCCCAGGCAGCTCAGCGCGGGAGCGTGCAGTGAGTTGAGGGGGGACCCCCCCTGGGAGCCCTCCTCGTCCACCCCAGGCCTCCTCTCCCCCCCAGGCAAAGAGGCTTTGCGGAGACTCTTCTACCGTCGGGTTTGCGGGAAGTCATGGGGGGAGATGGCCTAGAGGGAGCTGATGGGGAGCAAATCCCTGGAAAGAGACGGGGTGGGAGGCAGAGGTTGGAAGGGCCTCCCGGGCGGGTGGGAAAGGCTGGGGGGGGGGGGCCTGGACGTGACCCGGCCCCCCATCCCTCCCAGGCCTGGGGGCCCCGGCGGGGGAGAGATCATGGCCCGCCTTTTCAGCCCCCCACCGCCGCCCAGCGAAGACCTCTTCTACGAGACCTACTACAGCCTGAGCCAGCAGTACCCGCTGCTCCTGCTGCTGCTGGCGGTGGTGCTCTGCGCCCTGGTGGCGCTGCTCGCGGTCGCCTGGGCCAGCGGCAGGGTGAGCGGGTCTGGGCGGCCGGCCGGACCCTGCGCGGGGGGCCGCCACTCTGCTCGGGGTCGGGGAGGGTCACGGCCTAGGGGCCTATAAGGGGATTGGGATTTGAGGGGTCTCCTTGTGTTTGGGGGGGGATGTCTTTTCCGGGAGCCGGATAGAAAGCATTAAACCTTGATAATGGACCCTGGGCAAGTCCCTTCATCCTCTCGGGGGCCTTGATCTCTAAGTTTGTACAAGAAGGCAGTCCCGTTCCCAAGGCTTGTCTAGGGGTCTACTGGCTCTAGAATAAATCCGACACCAGGTTTTCCAGTTTACCCGAGGGGAAATTGTACTCCACCCCACCCCACCCCCTCCACCCCTCGGGGAATTCATTTCCTGGAGTGCGGGGCAGTTGTACCCCGACACTCCCAGAAGGCACCTTTCCCTCTCATTTAGATCTACACTAAAACAAAGCATGACATTTTCAGTTTCTCTTTGGAGAAGGAGGGGTCTTCAATTTTATATCTGCAAATAATCCTGCTCTGGGTTTCCTTTTCACTCCACAGTGACAAGATGGTGCGGGGTGGGGGGAGATCTTTGGGTGCGGTCAGCCCTTGCTGGTCCACCCCCAAACGCCGGAAAGAGGTGTGGACCCAGGGCGGTGTCCGCGGTGTGACTACTCGGAGCTAGGCAGGTGTTACGATCTCAGGCCTGGGACTAGGGATGTGCGCCCCCTGCCGTTCACACGCTGCCTCGCGCCTCGCCCGAATCTCGGAGTCACCTAAGTATTTTAGTCAGATTTGGAGACTGGGGTTTTTATTTTTATATTTTTATTGTTATTATAAAGATGATTACAGAGCGCTTGCAGTGACATAATTCAGGTAAAGAGAATATTTCTTGGGCTGGAAAGGTGGCTCAGTGGTAGAGTGCTTGCCTGGCATGCATGAGGCCCTGGGTTCAATTCCTCAGCACCACATAAGCAGAAAAGGCCGGAAGTGGCGCTGTGGCTCAAGTGGAAGAGTGCTAGCCTTGAGCTGAAGAACTGAGGGATAGCGCCCAGGCCCAGAGTTCAGGACCCACAACTGACCCCCCCCCAAAAAACGAGTACATTTCTTTTTGGACACTGTCATGGATTTGTTGTTGCTGTTGGTTGTTAAGTGCTTTTTTATGATTGAGGATCTTTCTACTTGCCAGAAGCCAGGCAGAGGTTAGAATAATTGCCTGATGATAAGATAACTGAGGCATGGAAAGATTATGGATTCACAAATAGACAGTATGGTGGTAGAACCAGGTCTTTGGGGCACACATTCTAGGCTGCTGTCGATGCTGCATGCAAGAGGTAATGAGGTTGACCCTGCTTTCACTATATTTGATGTCAGTATAACTTGTGGAGGAGATGGGGAAAAACCAGTTGTTTAAGGATACAGGTGGACCTGTTGCAACAATGAGAAGTACAAGTTGTCATGTCCAAAACGAGCTTTACAACGTTGGTGGGGGGGGGGGGGGGGAAGGAGAAGGATTGGGATTAGGGGGGAGGGGGGAGGCTGGGAAGGGATGTGAAGGATAAACAAAGGAGGAGGCTGCAATGCTTGGTAAGAAATGTATGCATTATCCTGCCCATGTAACTGTAACTCCTCTGTACAGTATGTTCACAAATAAAATTAAATTAAATTTTAAAAAAAAAAAGAGGTAATGAGGTTGATAGGAAATTGTCAACTCTACCAATCAAAGATGCAAAATAATCTGCAAGTGTGTGTGTGTGTGTGTGTGTGTGTGTGTGTGTGTGTGTGTGTGTGTGTGTGTGTGTGTGTGTGTGTATGCTGGTCCTGGGTCTTGAATTCAGGGCCTAAGCATTACTACTAAGATTGGCTTTCTGGTAGTTAAATGGAGAGAAGAATCTCACAGACTTTTCTTCCCAGGCTGGCTTCAAACTGCCATCCTCAGAATTCAGCCTCCTATGTAGCTAGGATTACAGGCTTGGGCCAGTGGTGCAATGCGATGCACAATTTCTTATGATTTGGCCTGGCAGGAAAGATGTTCAGAGGAGCCCAGCGTCCTTTTCGTTCTTGGGTTTGAGACACTGTTGTAGAACTGACCTGAGGCTGTCTGCCCCTTTTCCTTGGTCTGGTTCGCTCCTTCTTGCCTTGGGTGAGAGCCCTCGAACTACCCAGCCCAATCTTGCCCTCCCGCGCCCTTTCCCCACCTGGACAGGAGCTGACCTCAGACCCAGGCTTTCTGGCCACTGTGGTGTGCGCGTTGGGCGGCTTTTCCTTGCTGATGGGCCTGGCCTCCCGCGAGCAGAGACTGCAGCGCTGGACGCGTCCCCTTTCGGGCCTGGTGTGGGCCGCACTGCTGGCTCTGGGCCATGGCTTCCTATTCACCGGGGGCGTGGTGAGCGCCTGGGACCAGGTGAGAGGAATGGCTGACCGGGAACAGGGGAGTGCCCAGGGCTGCCATCAGTTCCCGTGTGCGGAGAAGTGCGGGTTCTCAGCTTCCCGCGCCCCGCCGGCCCCAGGTGTCCTTCTTCCTCTTCGTCATCTTCACGGTGTACGCCATGCTGCCCTTGAGCATGCGGGACGCTGCCGCCGCAGGCCTCACCTCGTCCTTGTCACACCTGCTGGTCCTGGGGCTCTACCTTGGGCCGCAGTCGGGCTCCAGGCCTGCGCTGCTACCGCAGGTAAGCACTCAGATAGCATTGGCGGTGCCCAAATCGGGCTCTCTGCTAGTGCTAATAAGTCCTCTGAGTGATTGCTGGGCTTTGACCCCAAGGCAGTGGGACAGTACTGGGCGCTGGATACTAGCAGATCCTTTCCAACCATTGTGCCCCCACCCGGGAGCTGCTAATCGGTGCAGCACCAACCTACCTGTACCAGAAGGGGGCGCTCGGCGCATAGGGAAGGTGGTTCTCCCAGGACAGAAGTTGAAGTGAAGCTACCCTGGAAGTGGGAAGTCTGGGAATCACGATTTGAAGCCAGCCTAGGCACGAAAAGTGCAGGAGACTCCTATCTCCAATTAACCACCAAAAATCCAGAAGAAGAAGGGGGGGGGAGGAGAGGAGGGGGAGGGGGAGGAGGAGGAGGAGGAGGGAGGAAAAGGAGAGAAGTTGGTGATGAAACCTTTGCAGAGAATATAAATCAGACTTTGAGTAATTTTACAGAGAATAAAATCAGAACGAGAGTAATTTTGTGCAGTTGGCGTAGATGAGGGTGAGGATGATGTAAGGGTATTCCTGACAGGAAATCTGTGTGCAAAGGTTTCTAGATCTAATAGACTATGTTGATCCAGTAGACAAGAATCTAGAGCAGAAGCATGAAGGAGGGATAAGAAATGTCCCTAAGGGGCTGGGAAGGTGGCTCAGTGATAGAGCGCTTGCCTTACATGTATGAGGCCCTGGGTTCGATTCCTCAGCACCACATAAGCAAAAAGAAAAAAAGCCGGAAGTGGTACTGTGGCTCAAGTGGTAGAGCGCTAGCCTTGAGCTGAAGAGCTGAGGGATAGCACCCCAGGCCCAGAGTTCAGACCCCACGACAGGACCAAAAAGAAAGAAAGAAAGAAAGAAATGTCCCTAAGATACACAGAAGTCCCTAAGATACTCAGAAATGTCCTGAGAGTCACTGGTCCCTAAAAGTAGGACTTGGCTATCCCCAGCCAGTTTTGGAGACCATCCTATAGATATTCCCAACCTCGCATTGGTCCTGCTTCCTCTGAAGCCAGTGCTCATCCACAGTTGGCAGCAAACGCTGTGTTGTTCCTGTGTGGGAACGTGGTAGGAGCGTACCACAAGGCCCTGATGGAGCGGGCACTGCGCGCTACGTTCCGGGAGGCACTCAGCTCCCTGCACTCACGGAGGAGGTTGGACACTGAGAAAAAGCACCAGGTCAGCTGGGCTTGGAGGCCGGGGGCGGGGGGGGGGGGGGGGGGGGGGGGTGGGGGGCGCGAAGGCAGGAGGGGGGGATGACATGATACTGAGTGAAACGTTCTTTGTATTAGGAGAGTAGACTCCTCCAGGCTCTGTGCGTTTGGGCCAGTTATTTACCCTTCTATAGCATTTCTCTCCTCTTGCAAGGCTCAAATCGAAACTTAAGAAAACAGTGTTATGATAGCTGGGTGGGTTTGGCTCCTGCCCATAATCCTAGTTACTTTAGGAGGCTGAGGTCTGAGGATCATGATTTGAAACCAGCACATGAGGAAAATCCATGAGACTTTTTTGGGGGGAAGGGGGTCAGTCGTGGGGCTTGAACTCTGGGCCTGGGCGCTGTCACTCAGCACTTCAGCTCAAGGCGAGCACTCTACTGCTTGAGCCACAGTGACACTTCTAGTTTTCTAGTGGTTTATTGGAGATAAGAGTCTCACAGACTTTCTTGCCCGGGCTGGCTTTGAAATGTGATCCTCAGATCTCAGCCTTCTGAGTATCTAGGATTACAGGTGTGAGCCACCGGCGCCTGGCTTCCATGAGACTTTTATCTTCAATTAACTATCAAAAAGCCTGAAGGTTGGCAGTACACTAGCAGTAAGTGAAAAAGCTAAGAGATACCACCTAGACCCTGAGTTCAAGCCCCTGTATGGGCACAAAAAGAAAACAAAAAAGGTAGAACTTTATGATACTAAGTTCAGAACTCTAAATCAGACATTGATACTGCAAAGTTCAATTCCTATAGAGAATAAGCACAGGATGAAGCACTAGAGCCCAGTTATACTCACCGGTGGGGCCTTGGGCAGTAGGAGGGCTCTCCTCAGTGGTTCAGGAGGGATCTTGGCAATAGCCACAATGAGAGGGGGGTATCTTGATGCTCATAGTAACTTCTTCCAGGAGCACCTTCTCTTGTCCATCCTTCCTGCTTACCTGGCACGAGAGATGAAAGCAGAGATCATGGCGAGACTGCAGGCTGGACAGAGCTCCCGGCCAGAGAACACGAACAACTTCCACAGCCTCTATGTCAAGAGACACCAAGGAGTGAGGTATGAGAAGGGAGAGCTAGAGGGCAGAGCGGAGGTATGGGCTGAGATGCTGGCTGCACTGACCCAGTCTGCCCTGCACAGCGTGCTGTATGCGGACATCGTGGGCTTTACACGGCTGGCCAGCGAGTGCTCCCCTAAGGAGCTTGTGCTCATGCTCAACGAGCTCTTTGGCAAGTTCGACCAGATCGCTAAGGTTAGAGATGCCTCCGTCTCCCCCAGAGATCCTCAAGCACCCCCATCATGGGGACCCCCCTTCTTAGGGAAGCTCCTGGCTTCTAAGATTCCCAGTCCTATCTCAGAGCCCAAGTGGACATTCTGATACTTCTGTGACATGTAAAACCCTCTCAAATATTCCCAGTCACGAAGCTGTTCACCAGATACCTCAAACCTGCAGTGATTGGACCATGTCTCCACAGATGTTCCAACCGCAATGCCTGCAGATGTGATCAGAATGCCAGTATGGTGTCTCTAGACACCGCATCCCAAATCAAGAGTGATATTCAGGGCTGGGAATGTGGCTTAGTGGTAGAGTGTTTGCCTGGCATGCATGAAGTCCTGGGTTTGATTCCTTGGTGCCACATACACAGAAAAAGCCAGAGGTGGTGCTGTGGCTCAAGTGGTAGAGTACTAGCCTTGAGCAAAGGAAGCTTAGGGACAGTGCTCAGGCTCTGAGTTCAAACCCCAGGGCTGGCACAAAAAAAAAAAGTTATATTCAGGTGTTCTAACTTGGGGAGGTCCTTCCCAGAGAAATCCCTACCACTTGAGCTCAGACCCCTGGGATGCAACTTAGTTTGGGGTCCCTTTTCAGACCTCTTTCTTAGTCCTGAGACTTCTTCCAGGTACTCATATCTACATAAACACTACTCATGCCAAAACTGGGGAGAGCCATATACTTCCTCCCTGACCCCCCCCCCCCCCACCAGCCCTCAGCTATCCCTGTAGAGAAAATTGCAAGGGAAATCCAGCCTCATGTCAATTTAGGGGATTCCCAGGATTCAACTTAGATGCCCCCAATCTCAATAAGTTCTTCAGGAATACTCCATTTGCTCCCCACTTTTCCCAATTCCCTCTTACCCCCTCTGGCCTCTAACCAGGTTCCTCTACACACCCACACACATACTCCCAGGAGCATGAATGCATGCGGATCAAGATCCTGGGGGACTGTTACTACTGCGTCTCCGGACTGCCACTCTCACTGCCAGACCACGCCATCAACTGTGTGCGCATGGGGCTGGACATGTGCCGGGCCATCAGGTCAGCTCGGGTGGGCAGGCCAGAAGAATAGACAGGAGTGGAGGCCAGAGGGGATAGGCAGGCTAGTGGAATCCTCTTGGGGGGAGGGGGATGTGGCACAGGCAGGGATGAGGGCAAGACTCTAGACTTAGCTTGTGCCTCCACCTCACTCCACCCCCCCCACCCCACCCCACCCCCCCACCCCCGCTCAGGAAACTGCGGGCGGCCACTGGTGTGGACATCAACATGCGTGTGGGAGTGCACTCAGGCAGTGTGCTGTGTGGAGTCATAGGGCTGCAGAAGTGGCAGTACGATGTCTGGTCTCACGATGTCACACTGGCCAACCACATGGAAGCGGGCGGTGTACCAGGGTAAGACCTGAGGTCCTAGGCAACCACAACAAGAGGCCAACCAGGCCTCTCACAATCTGACACCCTTTTCATACTTCCTTAAAATTAGCCCAACTCCACGGGAGGCTCAGAGAGATTCTGGGGTGCAGAGAAACGTGTGTGTGTGTGTGTGTGTGTGTGTGTGTGTGTGTGTGTGTGTGTGTGTGTGCTGGTACTGGGGCTTAAAGTCAGGATCTGGACTCTGTCCCTTAGCTTTTTTCACTTAAGGCTGGTGCTCTACTATTTGAGCCACAACTCTATTTCTGACTTTTTGGTCATCAATTGGAGATAAGAGTCTCACAGACTTTCCTGCCTGAGTTGACTTTGAATCTCAGGTCTTAGCCTCCTGAATAGCTAGGATTACAACACCAGCACCCAGCTTATAGGGTGTGTGTGTGTGTGTGTGTGTGTGTGTGTGTGTGTGTGTGTGTGTGTGTGTGTGTGTGTGTGTGTGTGCGTGGTGTGTGTGTGAGAGAGAGAGACAGACAGACAGACAGACAGACAAGACAGACAGAGAGAGACAGCGAGACAGAGAGACTTCCAGCTTTTTCTGTTTATATGGTGCTGATGAATTGAACCCAGGGCCTCATGCATGCATGCAAGACAAGCACTCTACCACTGAGCCACCTTCCCAGCCCCTCATAGGGCCTTTTTGAACTCAGACTTCCTGGATCTCACTGCCTCTCCTTCTAGACGAGTGCACATCACAGGGGCTACCCTAGCCCTACTGGCAGGGGCTTATGCTGTGGAAGATGCAACCATGGAACATCGGGATCCATACCTCCGGGAGCTAGGAGAGCCTACATACCTGGTCATTGACCCTCGGGTAAAAGCCAGACTAGAAATTGATTTCCTGGGCTCTAATGTAGGGGAAGGGCAGGGATACGCCTCTAAGGGATGTAGGGAAAAGGGGGAAATGTCCCTGGTCTTTACTGTCAGACTTTATACGTACCAGGCCAAGGAGGAAGATGAAAAAGGCACTGCAGGAGGGTTATTATCCTCTTTGGAGGGCCACAAGATGCGCCCATCACTACTGATGACCCGCTACCTGGAGTCCTGGGGTGCAGCCAAGCCTTTTGCCCATCTGAGCCACGTAGACAGCCCTATATGCACCTCCACCCCACTCCCGGTATGTGTTCCTCTACTGTAACCCACCTCCATTGTCCTGGAGCTCCACCTCAGCCTACCTCCAGGGAGTCACGTGATGATTTATGATATCCCAAGCTGGTAAACTGTCTGGTTGCCGTAATCATTAGTTCCGGCCTCCCCTTGTCCTCCCTTTCAGAGAAAGAGCAAAGAACACTACTCTCTGCACTCACTTGGGAGAAGATGCAACAGCTCCATAAACACCATATCCATTGCTTCCCAACCTCCCCTTCCCTGCAGGCTGAAGGAAGCAGACCCCACCATCTTCTGACTCTTGATTCCAACACTGCACACTCATTGCACCAGGAAATGCTTGCTTCACTTTCTTTCCTGCAACTGCATGCTCTCTTCTTCGATCCCTTCTAGAATTAAGGGCATTCCTAATTTTAGCATACCTGGGCAAAATGAAGTGAAAATAAAAATTACACATGGCCTTGAAGAAGGAAGTTCCATGAGCAGCAGCGTGGGGAGGGGTGGGGAGGGCAGGCAGTGGGCTTAGGTCAAGCTAAGAGAAGTCCCATTACTGTCTGACCCTACATGTAGCACATTGAGGTAATCAATGACCCACTCACTAGTGAAGGACCCTGGATCTCTTTCTACTGTCAGAAACTCCTCACACAGGGACCAGGTCATGCTCCTAAAGGTATGCAGCCAGGATTGAGTCACAGTGTCCTGAGCTTCCAGCATAGCTAGGATTACAGGCATGATACCAGCACCGAGCTGGAATATTCAGTCTTTAAGGAAGGTGAGACACAATGTATTACTTGCCACGAAAGCACTGACAAGATAAAAGTTGACCTAGTTAAATTATGAGTACTGTGAGGACACAAAAGGCTTAAAGACCTTGGGAGTCTCTAGCATCAGAGGAAACTTTAGAGAGAAAATGGAGCCAACTGTCTCTTTGTGAGTAGGCATCATTCAGTGAAGAGGGAGAGACAAAAATAACTAAACCCAGAAGGAACAGCCAGGCCAAATGCCCAAGGCCAAGCCCACTGCTTATAGACATTTGTAATTCTAGCTAGTTGGGAGGCTAAGATCAGGACTAGCATGGTTTCAGGCCAGCTCAAGAACAAAAGTCCACAATATCCTTCTCAAAAGAAGAGGCTGGGTATGGTGGTGCACACCTGTCATCCCACCCACAACAGGAAGCCTGAAAAAAAAAAAATGAATCGAAGTCCAGGTGACTCCTGGGTAGGAAATGATACTCTATCTCAAAAATAAAGGAGTGAGACATGGCTCAGCAGGAGAGACTCTGTCTAGCAAGTATGAGGCCCTGAGTTGAAAACCCAATACCATACATACATACGTACATACATGACCAAGGCAAAAGATATATGTAGAACATGCAGTCCATGGTCTGCTCACTGTGGAGATAATACTTACCACCTCCTTCTATGTGTTCTCCCAAACAGGAGAAGGCCTTGGCCTCCTTCGGTCCCCAGTGGAGTCTGGATCGGTGAGGAAACTTGAGCATCTGTGGCAGTGTGGCTGGCTGGGTGCATCCTTCCAGGATGGAGGGGGTGGGGCGGGGAAGGATTGGTGGGGGGCAGGGAGAGGAGGGTGCTCTGCTTTGCCCAGACAGTTTTGAGGCTCCCCATGGTAACAGGTTTAGCTGTCCCTGTGCAGGAGCCGCACCCCTCGGGGACTAGATGATGAGCTGGACACAGGGGATGCCAAGTTCTTCCAAGTCATCGAACAGCTCAACTCTCAGAAGTATAGAAAGCAAAGAGGGCTGGGAGGGCTGGGAGGGCTGGGAGTCCTGAATCACATTAGTGGAGGGGTGGTGCTTCTCAGAGGGTCTACAGGGAGGCCCACCTTATCACCTGCTCCTGCCCCATCCAGTCCTACCCTGCCTGGTCCTCTCCCCTGCTCACACCTCCCACCTCCCACCTCCCACCAGACAGTGGAAGCAGTCGAAGGACTTCAACCTACTGACACTGTATTTCAGAGAGAAGGAGATGGAGAAACAGGTAGGCTAAGGGAACCAACAGCTTTCCCAACTTACTTAGGTCCTTGTTTCTGAGGAGTTAGGCTTTGAATCTTACCTCCCATGCCTAGATTGCTCAGTTTTTGTTTTGTTTTGCTTTTGTTTTGTTTTGTGCCATTTCTGGGGTTTGAACCTAGGGCACTGTACTTGAGCTTTTTATCTCCCTCAAGGCTGGCACTCTACCATTTCAGCCACAGCTCTACTTCTGTTTTTTGGGTTTTGGGGTTTCTTTTGCTGGTTAGCTGGAGATAAGAGCCTCACAGAGTGTCCTGCCCAAGCTGGTTCTGAACCATAATCCTTAGATCCCAGCTTCCTGAGTAGCTAGGATTAAATCAGGCATGAGCCACTAGCACCTAGCTGGTTTGCTCAGTTTTTGACCCTAAGGTGACAATTATGTGCCTCTCTTGAAAAGGGAGGTCTTCCATAGATCTAATTCTCCTGTGGTAGTGGGAGGAGGGGGGAAAACTGCTTGGGGAACAGGGAGGGGTTACCCAGAACTGAACTGGAAGTTAGAGCACTGAGGCTGGAAATCCTAGCCCTTGCCCTGGGACTGACACCCGAAGGCAACTGTCAGCACCAGTGCACTGTCTCCATTCATGCTTGCTCTTCCAGTACCGGTTCTCAGCACTCCCGGCCTTCAAATACTATGCAGCTTGCACCTTCCTGGTTTTCCTCTCCAATTTCATCATCCAAATGCTGGTGACAAACAGGTAAGAGACATGAGACGAGAAGTCCTGCCTCTCATACACTGAAGCCTTTACCCTTGCTCCTCCTGACCCATGACACACACTTTTTTTCCTCTTAACTTCAAATACCTCCCCACAGAGGAAACACGTGTTCTGGAGAATCAGTGATAATCACAGGCCCCATCTTAATATTGCACATCCTGAGGGCTGGGATGTAGCTCTGTGATAGAGAACTTACCTAGTAAGCTCTCTATTAGGCTATGGGTTCATCTTCCAGCATTGAAACACACACACACACACACACACACACACACACACACACACACATTGTATCTCTTGACCACCTTTTATATCCCTATCTTTTCCAGTGCTACCAATATTTCCATGAAGGAAACTGGGCTCCCATTGAAATGCCCAAATCTGAGTGAATGGGTAAACTTAGAAAGTAAGTTCTCTAGCCTATGCCACTGCTAGAAAGGTTAAGGTCTTGTTTAAAATTCAGCCAGGCCATCATAGTGGCTCATGCCTGTAATTCCAACTACTTGAGAGGTATATAAGCCCAGGAAAAAGTTAGTGACATCCCATCTCAAATGTCAAGTGGAGTAAGGTAGATGTGTGTCTGTGCTCCTAGCCTTGTGGAGGAGGATTTCAGTCAGGTGAGCCCAGACACGAGTGAGACTATCTGAAAAATAACTACAACAAAAAGGTCTGGAGACAGCATGGTTCAAGTGATAGGATGCCTTCCTAGCAAGCTCAAGACCCTGAGTTCAAACTCCAGTACTGAAAACTCAGTCAAGTTAAAGAGCTGTGGGCACTAGTGGCTCACGTCTATAATCCTAACTACTCAAGAGACTGAGATCTGAGCATTGAGGTTTGAAGCCAGCCTGAGCAGGAAAGTCTGTGAGACTTTTATCTCCAATTAACCATCAAAAAGCCAGAAGTGGGGGCTGAGAATATGGCTTAGTGGGAAGATTGCCTGGCATGTATGAAGCCATGGGTTCAATTCCTCAGTACCATATAAACATAAAAAACTGGAAGTGGCGCTGTGGCTCAAGTGGTAGAGCACTAGCCTGGAGCAAAAGAAGGCAGTGTCCAGGACCTGAGTTCAAGCCCCAGGACTGGCCAAAAAAAGACAGAAGTGGAGTTGTGGTTCAAATAGTAGAATGCCTACCTAGGAAGTGCAAGGCTCTGAGTTGAAACCCCAGTAAATTCAGTCAGGTTAAAGAGCTTTGGCCCAGAGATTGGTCTGACTGAGCCCCAGCCAATATTGTCAACCCCTAACTCCTATTTATTTATTTATTGCCACTCCTGGGCCTTGAACTCAGGGCCTGGGCACTATTCTTGGCTTTTTTTAAACTCAAGGCTAGCACTCTACCAATTGAACCATAGCGCCACTTTCAGCTTTTGTTTTTCTGTTTATGTGGTACTGAGGAATTGAACCCAGGGCTTCATGCATGCTAGGCAAGCACTCTACCACTAAGCCATATTCCCAGCCCCCCCTAACCCCCTTTAATATTGTCCCCATTCTACTGGTTATTCCTGGGCCGCCCAAACACTGCCCTAAATCCTTCAATATTCTCACTGAAACAGGCTATGTTTGTCAATCCAGGCTTGCCAGTAGCTAAGCTGGATCCCCAGAACCTCCTCCTCCTCCTACCACCAAACCCCCACCTAGCCTCCCAACAAGATAGCCCATCTGTCACAGCCCAGAGGACCCAGAGCCCATCCAGATACTCCAAGGAATACTTATTGTCTTCCCTTAGGCCCCCAGCTCTGGCCATCACCTATAGCATCACCTTCCTGCTCTTCTTCCTCCTCCTCTTCATCTGCTTCTCAGAGCATCTGACGGTAAGATGGGCTAAAGGGAAGAAATGGCAAAATGAAGCCCCAGCCATGAACTGACCTAAAGAAGGAACCTTGGTCTTGTGGCTAAGACATCTGTACTCCCTTCACAGAGATGTGTCCGGAAGGGTCTCAAGGTACTTCACTGGCTGCCTGCACTATCCAGCCTGGTGGCCACACGGCCTGGACTGCGGGTCGCCTTGGGCACTGCCACCATCTTCCTGGTCTTTGTCATGGCCATTGCTAGCCTGGTAAGGCTAAAGAGGACCCTGTCTATCCCCATCAAAGCATGCTGAACCTACTAGGGACTGAAAGGGGAATCTCTGCATCTAGGAGGACAGTTGGGTTAAGGCCAAGGAATGCTGGGAAGGTAAAGAAAATGTTGGAAGTGTAAAGAAAAATGTTACAGTCTCCTACAGTCAGCTACCTGGACATAATCATTGTTAAAACACTTTGATGGATTTTTCCCTTCCTAGCTTCTTCCTATGTAAGGAGTTATCTATTAATTGATTTTCTTTTTACAGAAATTACCACTGTTTTTAGAAGTCTATGCCTGAAAAGCTTGTAGGAATCATACTCTTAGTTACAAAAGAGGACATAAAGTCCTAAGAGGTTAAATGGCTGACAAAGGATCCATACTTATGAAACCCTCCCACAATCCCTCCTCCTACCATGAGAACCAAGGCTGAGACCCCCTCACTGATCAGAAGTAGCAACTGAAGTCATTATTGTATTGGAGAAGCTGCCTGCCCCTCAGCTCATCTCTTTCCACAGTTCTTCTTACCAGCATCATCAGACTGCCCTTTTCTGGCTCCCAATGTGTCCTCTCTGGCATTCAACTTGTCCTGGGAGCTGCCCGGGTCCTTGCCTCTTGTCAGTGTCCCAGTAAGTGTTCCCATACAGCCCCATATCTGTTTCCACACCCTTCCTCCATCCCACCTCCCACCTCTTTTTGTTGCTGCTGTTGTTGTCCTTGGTCATGGGGCTTGAACTCTGGGCCTAGGCACTATCCCTGTGCTCTTCAGCTCAAGGCGAGCGCTCTACTGCTTGAACAACAGTGCCACCTCCAGTTTTCTAGTGGTTTAGTGAAGATAAGAGTCTTATGGACTTTCCTGCCCAGGCTGGCTTTGAACCATGATCCTCAGATCTCAGCCTCCTGAGTAGCTAGGATTACAAGCATGAACCACCAGCACCTGGCCCCACCCCCCACCTCTTAAGCTGAAGAACACGCCATCCCACAGATTGAAATAGATATGTCATACCTAGTGTCTGTGTGGATGACATCTCCTGTCCCCCAGATAGGCTCTGGGGCCTGGAAGGGACAGAACAGGAATCCTTGGATGTCCTTCTGCCCTTCCTATGGGACATAGCTATTCCTGACCTATCTCACCTGTCTCCACAGTACTCCATGCACTGCTGCGTTCTGGGTTTCCTCTCCTGCTCCCTCTTCCTGCACATGAGCTTTGAACTGAAGCTCCTGCTGCTCCTGCTGTGGCTGGCAGCCTCCTGCTCCATCTTCCTACACTCTCATGCCTGGCTGTCTGACTGCCTCATTGCCTGCCTTTACCGAGGTCCTTTGGATTCAAGGTGAGCACAAGCCACAAGGCAGAGGTGTTCAGAGATAGGGTGGGGTGGGCTACAGCAGAGCTGAACCACCCACCAGGCCAAGGAGGAGGGGTTGGGAGTCTATGGGCACTGGGGGAAGGGAAGAGGCCATAAGGAAGAGGTAGAGCAAAGGACAATCCTGACCAGTGACCTCCTCAGGCCAGGAGTGCTGAAGGAGCCCAAACTGATGGGAGCTATCTCCTTCTTCATCTTTTTCTTCACCCTCCTTGTTCTGGCTCGGCAGGTAAGTCACCTAGCTCAGCCCTCCAGAATCTCCCTGTGAATGGTGAGCTTGAGGTCCCCATATTGGTGACTTGGTCTCTCTCATCTTGGGTTGAGCCCAAGTGTTTTGCCATTGGAAGCTTTTCAGGGGGCCTTACTGTTCTCTTTTGTTTCCTCATCCCCCAAGTTCCTCCAGATCTCCTGGTCTTCCCTTTCTTCCTCCTACCCCCAAATCTGGGAAAGGCCACACTTGAGGAAAATTCCACTGCCAGTTTTATATATTCTCCTTTGAATCAAGTTTCAAGGTAGTCTCTCTGAGGACAGTTGCACTTATCCCTAAAGCATACTACTTTCAGGCATTATTGCTGTAGTTACTCCTGCGCTGTCTCCCAAGCCCCCCTGTTAACCTTCCCTAGAATGAATATTACTGTCGCCTGGACTTCCTGTGGAAGAAGAAGCTGAGGCAGGAGCGGGAGGAAACAGAGACAATGGAGAACCTTACCCGGCTACTCTTGGAGAATGTGCTCCCTGCACATGTGGCCCCCCAGTTCATAGGCCAGAATCGGCGCAACGAGGTGATTCCTGAATCCTGAGTTCCAGATACCAGAGGGATTAAGTATTGATGAAAGTCTTTGCCCTGGGCCTGTCCACTCTGGATTGCCTACCATGGACCAAACAGTCACACAAGGCCTTGGCCCTAGGCACAGACCTCCAGTTTCCAAAGATCTTGGTTTTTCTCTTTGAGGAGCATGGAACCTCTGCACTTCATGTTCTCACTTAAGAGGAGCATCTTTTCCAACTTATGGCTGCTCCATAACTTTCAGAAGCTTAGGTGTTGATGGGTATGGTGTGGAGTCCACCCATCTCTCTAGCCCTGCACTGTCCAATGTGGTAGCCACGAGCCACGTGTGGTAATTCAAATTTACTGTAAATAAATGCAAACTTAAGATTTTAGTTCTTCAGTTGCACCAGCTGCATTTTAAGAGCTCAAGCAGCCATGTGTGGCTAGTGGTCACTATGTTGGACAATACAACTGTAGAATGTTTCCATAACTGCAGAAATTCCTATTGGATGCTGCTGCTCTAGAGACTCAAAAATTTTGCTATAGTCAGATGACCATCTTTTTTGAGCCACCATTGTCTGGCCCTCTTTGCTATGGAAATTCTGGAGGATGTAAAGAAGACAACTCAGGAGCTATGTCAGTGACCTGTATCTCCACCACCCCCTCTCTGCTCTCAAGATCAGAAGAAGTTCTACTTCCATTTTCTTCTCCTGCGGAGATTGAATCTTAAACCTGATTGGTTTCTCTCTTTACATTGGATATTAGAAAGCTAAGAGCCAGAATCTAGGACTAACAAAAACTTCATAGCATCATTTTGCTAACTACCTCAGATCTGATTCCATCCTTTCCCTTTTACTCTTGTTTTTCTTACTGCTATTTATTTTATCTTCCGGATAGTAGGAACATTTGTAAGCTGACTTAACTGACTTAATGTTTTTACCAATAAGATACAAAAATAATTTCCACTGGCACGATCACAATTTTAGGAGTATATCCCTTCACATAGCCTGACCACAAATCTCTGTCTCATGGAATCAGAAAAAAGACATCAAATGTTTGACTTCTAAGTCATATCCCTGGTGTAAATTGGCCCTGTCCATCTCTTTCCTTTCTAATCCTTCCTAAAAAAAAAAAAAAAAGCCTGGCATGGTGATCCATACCTATAATTCTAGCATGTGAGGCCAACTTAGTCTACATAGTAAGACCTTGTCTCAACAACAAAACCCAGAATGACTAGGAGTGTGGGGGTGGGGCATGCCGACCCAGGAAGGAGAAGGACATGTCATACACTCCTCACACCAGCCTTCTACTCCACACAGGACCTCTACCATCAGTCCTACGAATGTGTTTGTGTTCTCTTCGCCTCAGTCCCAGACTTTAAGGAATTTTATTCTGAATCCAACATCAACCATGAAGGGCTAGAGTGCCTGCGGCTGCTCAATGAAATAATTGCTGATTTTGATGAGGTAACTTCAAGAATTCCTCAATGTTATGTCCTGAATTCTAGAACTTTCCACCACCGCCACCTCTCATTTTGCTTTCCTGGCTATGAGACCAAACCTGTCCCCTAACCCCAACACACTCCCTCCTCTAAGGTCCCAGCTCTATCCTCTTCAGTGACATTCCCCACGTTCCCACTACCAACTCTCTCCTTCCTGCTACCATCCTCAAACCCACAGCTTGGTCCTTTAGCCTCCAAAGGCCTAGGGCCAGCCTTTTTGGAAAGGGGAAGGAGAGAGCAAGAAGGACTAGAAACACAACCTCTTTCTGTACAGCTGCTCTCCAAACCCAAATTTAGTGGTGTAGAGAAGATCAAAACTATTGGCAGCACCTACATGGCAGCCACAGGATTAAATGCCACCTCTGGACAAGATGCACAACAGGTACAGCAACCTTTCCTTACCTACAAACCCTCCTGTGGGCTCTCACTGCTGGGCCCATAAGTGGGACTTATTCCTACACCCTCATTGGCTCATTCTGGTGGATGGACTATTCCTAGGATGCTGAGCGAAGCTGCAGCCATCTTGGCACCATGGTGGAATTTGCAGTGGCCTTGGGGTCTAAGCTAGATGTCATCAACAAGCACTCATTCAACAACTTTCACCTGCGTGTAGGTGAGCCAACCCCAACCATTGCTGGGACAATGTAGTAGTTCCTTCCCCACTCCAATTCTTTATTAATTGCTCCACAACTCATCCTTGGACCTCCTCTCCAGACTTAATCCTTTGTGTAAGAAATGAAACTGGAGGCTGGGAAGGTGGCTCAAGTGGTAGAGCGCTAGCCTTGAGCTGAAGAGCTGAGGAACTGCGCCCAGGCCCAGAGTTCAGGCCCCACATCCAACAAAAAAAGAAAAAAAAGAGATGAAACTGCAGGGGACTAAGTGGCTTACACCCACCATTCCCTAAAGCCTATTCCTCTAGTTCAAGACCACTTGCCTTTAAGGCTCCTTCTTCTCTCCAATCCTTTACTTCCTCTACCCCTCTCTGCTTCTCTAAAGTGACTCCTATCAGAGCCCCTCTTTATTATTCCTTATCAGGATTGAATCATGGACCAGTAGTAGCTGGAGTAATTGGGGCCCAGAAGCCACAATATGACATCTGGGGCAATACCGTGAATGTGGCCAGCCGCATGGAAAGTACAGGAGTCCTTGGCAAGATCCAAGTGAGGGGAAACATATGGGAGGCCTGAGGGAGGGGGATAAAGGATAAGGGCCCCCATGTCCCCTCACACTCCTCCAATTGCAGGTAACTGAGGAGACAGCCCTGGCACTACAGTCCCTGGGTTATACATGCTACAGACGAGGCATCATCAAGGTCAAAGGCAAAGGGCAGCTCTGCACCTACTTCCTGAACACAGATTTGACACGAACTGGACCTCCCTCAGCCACCCTAGGCTGAAACTCCATCCTCTTCTAAGATCCTTAATAAAAAAAAAAAAAAAAAAAAAAAAAAAACCTGATTATAGAATGTCTGCACATAGAGGAGATCAGAAGTTGTGAAGTGCTAGGAATCACCTTCTCCTTGCCCTCAATAGAAGAGTGACTTCCTTAACCATCTTCCTAAAATATTGTCAGAACAAAGCTAGGTTATCTAAAACAGCAGTAGTCACCCCTAGGAAGTAATGGTTCATCCATCTCACTTTAAAAAATTATTTATTTTGGTGCCAATATTGTTTGTTTCTTTTGGTGCCAGTACGAGGGCTTGAACTCAAGGCCTCAAGTTCTCCCTTGTCTTTTTCTCTCAAGGCTAGTGCTGTACCACTTCAGATAAGAGTTTCACGGCCTTTCCTGTCCACACTGGCTTTGAACATGATCCTCAGATCTCAGCCTCCTGAGTAGCTAGGATGAGCCATTTGAGCCCCACTACTTCTCACCTTTAAGAAACCTTATTTCCTGAGGTTGACCATGATCAACCTGCACTAGAATGTCTTATGGGGCTGGCAGATGCAGATGTAGAGAATTCTGGGTAGAGGTGGGTCTCAAGTGAGATGTGGTCTCAACTGAGACCTGGTTGGCAGATGGTGGGAAGGAAGACAATGGAGAAACGTCAGCTAAGAAGGTAGAGATTACAGGAAGATGAAGTCAGACTGACAATGGTACTTAACCACAGACTTCAGAGAAGACACACTATCTTCTGTGAAAGTCCTTTGAGTCACCAATCTAGAGTGACCACATGGGTGGTCTCCCTTGACTATCTTTTCTAGGAATCTGTGGGATGTGTGCTTTCCAAGTGGGATCAATAGATCACCAATTGCAAAATCACTCAAAAGGATGGGAAAGGGGGAAGGTGTCATCTATCCTGACGTGGTTCCAAAATTGTCACTCATAGGTATCTAAAGGACTTAGCTCTCAGCTGTTCACCGGGAACCCACCAAGGTATCCACGAGCACCTCAAAGCCCCATAACACACACCTCACAGGACTGATCCAATTTCAGACTTCGGTTTTAATTGCAAAGCTACCCCAGGAGCAAGGCCTGACCATGCTCTCGCAATGTGCTGACTCGCCCAGCCCTTCCTCTGCTTCGGCTACGCCCTGTCCCCCACATCTCCCCACACTGCAGGTTCTCCTCCTCTTCTGGGTGAAGAATTGGGTCAGGCAAGCGTGGGGCCTTGCCCGGAGGAGGAGAACGCACATCCTTCCACCTGGTCTAGATCAGTTGGTTTTTCTTCAGGGAGTTGGAGGAAGCCGTGAGGCTCTCGGTGGTGTCCGGCTCTGGAGGGACAGGGGTGCTCTTCACAGTCTGGGCCAGGGATCCCCCACGGCGAGTGCTGTAGATCTCGGAGCCGGTGCCCTCCAGCAGCTTGGCGACGAAGCCCACCCCTGCGGAGCGCAGCAGGCCGCCGCCGGCGCATGCATACAGCACCGGGTTCACGCTACTGCTCAGGAAGGCCAGCGCGATGAGCACGTTGCGAGCCAGCGTCAGCCGCATCCCCACCGGCCCGGACCTCGGACCCAGGCCGGCCAGCGCGCGGCCTGCCTCGGCCAGGTTCACCATGTGATAAGGCAGCCAGAAAGCGGCGAAGGCCACGATGATGAGCACCACCAGACGGCCAGTTCGGCGACTGCGGCGGAAGCGCCGGGCCTGCAGCCTGCGCCCGATGTCGGAGTAACTGGCCACCACCGCCACGAAGGGCAGCAGGAAGCCGGTGAAGGCCTCGAAGAGCAGGTGGAAGGCTCTGTGCCCATCGCTGGGGTACTTGGGAAAGCAAACCAGACTCTTGTTGTTCAATCCAAAGCTTACTGTGCGGTACCTGAGGACCGGTGTGGCCAGCAAAAAGGACACCAGCCAGATCCCCGCCAGCACCCACCGGACAACCGCCTTGGTGCGCACCTTCTGGGACACAAAGGGACGGGCGACTGCCAGCGAGCGGTCCAGACTCATGGCGGTGATCAGCAGGACGCTGGCATACATGCTGACTCCACAGACGTAGTGGCACAGGAGGCAGCCAGCCAATTTGAACCTCCAGGAGCCGTGGGTCAAGGAATGCAGGAAAAAAGGAGCCGTGAGCAATACAGCCAGGTCAGCCAGTGCTAGGTTCAGCACGAGCAGGGCCGTGACAGAGAGCTTGCGCATCCTTCTCAGGATGCTCCATACCACGAAGCTGTTGCCAGGGAGCCCCACCGCCAGCGCCACTGACAGCAGGACAACAGCCAACAGAGACACGAATCTGACACCTACGGAGAAGGATGCTGCCGAAGACGTAGCGTTTGTGGCCATCTCAGAGACCTGGGAAGTGAGGGTGGATACATGAATGAAAATAGAGAGCCAAAGGTTACCTGGCACCCATGGACACACCATGAATACTATGTCTATGACGAGCACCAGGAGCTCCCAACATATACTGCTACTTCACTGCCAACTGACCTGTCTTAAGGAGATCTGGTGGAGCAGAAAGACTCATTTCCTAACTGGTCCAGGGGCTCCTTCCTGCCCAAAGACCCAATTGCAAAATATACAGCAGCAACAACAACAGTGACAGCACCCATTTCCAGATCTTTTTAAGTCTCTTTCCCTTAGGACACCATGAAACCAGAACCAACTGGGAGCTTTCCTCATCAACCAGTGCTGCACTCCTTGAATGACTAGCTCAATCCTTGCTTCCTGTCAGGCTTTCTGGTCTTCAACCTAATTAACTTTTCCAACCAATCACCTAGTTGCTCTCCCTGGAGATTACCAAGGTACACCATGAACTACAAGGATAAAGAGCAGTTCATGGCTAGATGTTGAAGATAAATCTTCTCAACTCCTTTTACACTGGTGGGCTTTCTTTGGAGATTTTTTTTTACATCTCTCCAGGCTGCATCTACCTTCTACACACACACACACACACACACACACACACACACACACACACACACACACACACACACACACACACACACACGGTCCTAAATACTTACAAGTACCAAGGTACTGATTGGAAGCTGATAATTCTCAGGTGAGAGCAAATGTCATCGATCCCTGGAGGTGTCCCGGTTCCAGGGGCTCTGCCTCAGGTCTGGGTGCTATCAGCTAAATCAGCCAGAGAGGAAGTACCACAGAGCATTGGAGGGGGAAGTCTGTCTTCCTGAAGGTGGGGCTGAAACCCTCACCCCCAAGAGGATAATCTGCATATCAAGCAACTCAAAAGGTAGGTCTCTTCAGGGGTAGGGCTAAATGATAAAAGCCCAGAAAGGGGCAATGAGAGAGGAAAGAGGGGTGCAGGGAATGAGTTGGCTGGGGTGTGGTGTCAAGATGCAGGTCCAGACTAGAGAATTGAACAGAGTAATGAATTCTATAATAGTGAGAGAGGGAAACAAGCTCAGACTGAAAGGCTAGAACTCTGGCATCCAAAAAATTTCTGTATATTTCACTTTAAAATGTTGCTGCACATAATATAGATTTTTAGACTAATGGGAAGTGTAGTTTGAAGCTATGAATAGGTTTTGAGTCTAGGTATGAGTGTGGTATTATGATTTAAAGATCGTATGTCAGTAAACTGATGGGTCAGCACCTTGTTCTTGGCTTCCGTTCAAGTCATGATCTGGGTTATGAAAAGGGGCCATCGCCTGGCACTTTCCATCCCTTTCTTCATTTAGAAGAGTTAGTTTCATTCAAAGTCAACAGTTCTCATTGTCTCTGGTAGGGGCCACAGTCAAAGTGAATTCCTTGATTTCACAGAATGCCAGTTTCTTCTCCTTCCCATAGCCATTTGTCTTGTGGCAACTGTGTGGTTATTTTGCCAAGGCTGAATTTGAGAAATCAGTGCTCAGCAAGTAATTGGTACTTACCACTTATTTCCTACATTTCCACAGTCTTAGGTGGTCCAATTCCACCTTTGTCAGAGAAAAGGTAGAGTGAGCTAAGCTGGGCAGAGCATGAGGAACGGAAGTGAGGGTGTGGAGACAGTGCTGCTTCACAGCAGCCTTGCTACAAGAAGAATCCAGAAACATGGAAAGAAACCATCTGTGACACTGAGAGACCCCTGGCATTCCCATGCTTTCAGTGCTTTCCTACATGCTCTGCATTGAGAAAAGCCTGAGCAGGGTTAGCCTAGTACATGTCAGGCAGAGGATATGATGAAAAGAAGGGTGAAACCACAGCAAGAACTGAAGACAACATTGAGGAAGGGCTTTCTGACCACACCGGGTGTGGAATACATAACAGCGGAAGTTAGGGAACCTTGACCTTAGAGCAGTCTTGGGACAGGAAGAAGCCTGTTTGGGCACAGAGTTCCAGGGCCAACCAGGGTCCCTGACTGGTTGCCCCTCTTCCTCTCTCCAGCTGCTCCCAATCCCATCTTCTTTGAGGGTGTTTTCCCCCACCAAGGACTAGGCACCTTAAGTATCCTTCCTGCCTCCTTAGTTCAAGAGCTCATTCCAACCTCACTTTTAGTGTTTCTGGCATTATTCTGAGGACTAGGTTTCCTTCCCTCTCTTGGCCTCTTTCTGGAAACATGAGCAGTCATTGAAGCAGAGCCTGAGGTAATAGCAAGGTAACTACTTAAGTGAGCAATCTCATTTTCTGGGGGCACTGGATATTTTTAGTGCTAAAACTGAGGACATTCTGGGCTAATTGTACAGATTGGTCATGAGTATGGCCATGGACATCCCCTGAGAAGTACCAGCCATGAGCAGAAAAAGCTAAGGGACAGTACCAAAGCCCTGAATTTAAGCACCAGAGGAAAATGAAAGAAGAGACTGACAGACCGAGACAAAGAGACAGAGAGAGATAGAGACACAGACACAGAGAGACACGGGGGGGGGGGAGAGTATGGGGGAGAAAGTAGATCTAGTAGGGAGAAAAAAGGAAAGATGTCACTTCCTTTGCAATTTCCTTTATTCCAAACATTCCTACCATACCCCATAAAGCCTCATCCCCAACCCTCAAACCCTCTGGCTGAGCAAGCACTGGCTTCTGGACTGCCTCTTAAGTCAAATGTTTTTTCACTGGGGAGGGTCTGATGGCCTGAGAAGTCAGTCTCAGGCTCAACTCCTATGCTATTTGTGTATGCCACTGTGTGTCTCTCCACTGTCCCAACCATAAGCTAAGCAGGAACCCAACACATCTACTTTCTCCTTCCAGACCAGTTTCTTCCTCAGGTAGCCTTTATAGACTCCAGAGGGTCTCACTCCTGCTCTCTTTCCAAAGTCCTATACCTTCCCTTCTCTTTGTCACTTTATTTTCAGAGTGGGTCTATGGATATGCCTAGGAAAACCAGGCAACCTGGGTGGAGAGAGGAAAATGCCACTACCCAGCAGTGACCTGGCCCGAACGGGAACTAGGTGGGTTCAGTACAACTCAAGCATGATGAAGCACCAAACAGCACACTTAAGCCATCATCAAATGGCTTAGCAGTCTATTTCACAATGCTATTGGCAACAAATAAGCAATGCTTGCACGTGGATACCTGCCAGCCTGCAAGCACACAAGGTTTTTTTTTGTTTTGTTTCGTTTTTTAACATAGGCTCTCCTCACCCCTACAATCCCTAGTTTGGTAGAACCTGGGCCTGCCCCAGGTGTATAACAATCCTTCCCAATCCCATCCAAACGGTAATCAGAGAAGAGTCTCAAAGGCTCCACAGTGCTGAGTTCCCGAGGCATGGCAGGTGGTAGGAAAGGGCAGGCCTGGTGGTAGGATTTAGAGTTAAGGATCCCATTCCTGACTGCCCCTCTTCAGGCCGCCCCCAGGGTCTCCATTGCTCCCGCCCTGCCCCATGATTTTCAACCTAGGAGCAGTTCGGAGCTCCATCGTGCCCTCCCGAGAGCGGCTGCTCCCTCGAGCCTCCCCGGAGCCCTCAAAGAGCCGCGTGAGAAAGCGGGGTCCAGCCCGGGGCAGCAGATCTCCGGCGGTAAAGACATACAGCACGGGGTTGACGCTGGAGCTGAAGAAAGCCAAAGCGGTGGTTCCGGCCCGCGCCGCCTGGCCTGCGCCGCCAAGCATGGCCAAGGCCCCTTCAGGCGGAGCCAGGGCTGCCACCGCCTGCACCAGATTGACGGCGTGGTAGGGGGCCCAGAGCAGGCCGAAGGCCAGCACGATGGCGCCCACCATCCGCCCAGCCCGCGTCCGCCGCCGCCCGGAGCCCAAGCGCGCGCTCCGCAGCCGCGCCAGGGTGGCGCCGTAGCAGCCGAGCACCAGCCCGAAGGGAAGGACGAAGGCGGTCAGCGTCTCCAGGCCCAGGTGGGCGGCGGCGTGCGCCGGCGACGGGTGGCACAGCTGGCACACGCGGTCGCCCCAGAGGTGGCGGTAGACGGCTGCTGGGACCGCGAGCAAGAAAGCGGCCGACCAGACTGCCAAGAGCAGGAGGCGGGCCAGGGCCTGGCTGCGCAGCCGGGGCGCCAGGAAGGGCCGGGTGACCGCCAGGCAGCGCTGCAGGCTGAGCAGGCTGGTGAGCAGCACGCTGGCGTACATGCTGATGGCGCACGCGTAGTACACCGCCTTGCAGCCCGCCAGACCCAGCGGCCAGGCCTGCCCCATCAGAAAAGCCACGAAGACCGGCGTGAGCAGCAGCACGGCGCCGTCGGCCAGCGCCAGGTGCAGTACCAGTGTGGCCGCCAGGGGTCGCCCTCGCGCGGGCCGCCAGCCCGCCAAGCTCCACACCACGAAGCAGTTGCCCGGCAGTCCCAGCAGCGCCGCCAGCAGTAGGAAGGCGGTGCCCGTGACCCTCGAGGCCTTCCAGCTCAGCAGAGTCTCGTTCCCCGGAGGACGGTAGCAGACGGACATGCTTCTCTCCTCAGCGGAGCTGGAAAGCACTAAAGAGGGCAATTCAGGGTTGAGACTGATGCCCACATTACCTCCAATGTTAGGTGAGAGCGGACCCACTCACCACTTCCCCTGCAGCATGCTTCCTCCAGGACGCACATTTGAGTCTAGATCCCTTGCTCTCTGAATGTCAGCTGACCTCCTCCACTCCTGACACCTTCCCAGAGCCCAGGGATACCAGCCCCACCCAGTCCTCAGACCAAACGGTCACTATCTCCACTTCCACCCCTCTCTGGCCTGGCCCTACTTTGTTCAGCCCAGCCCTTGTATACTTCAGGGCAATGGTGGATAGTGAGAGTACCAGGGCATGGGCAGATCTACTTACCCAGCTGGGAACAGGCAGAGTTGGGGGCCTAGGGAGGCTGAAAGGTGAAGCAGCAGTGTGTGAGGTGCCTGTTCCTGTCACATTTGGAGAGGGTGAGGCAAGAATGCAGAGGGACAAGATGGTACTCATCCTGAACCTTTCCTAAGGCCCCTCCTTCACCCTACTGCTTCCCATCACTAACAGGCCCAGGCATGTGGGAGCCCGCCTCCCTAGGAAACAGGAAAAGCTGAAGGGATGCAGATAAGGTGTCCTGGCTGTGGAGGGGAGTGAAGCAGTCTGCTGAAGCCTGACCCTGGGCCTGCTCTCACCCACCCCACTTGCCCATCTCTGACTGCAGTCCTTCCAGCCCCTTTTATAGTACTTATGTTCTCCACAGAGAAGGTGACAACTCACTTTCCTAGCTGCCATCTTCAGCCTCTGCTGAGACCCTTTTTCCTACCTCCTAGCCTACCTTCGCCTATCTTTTGCTTTGGACCCTGTTCAAATCCTCTATCCTTTGGGCTTTCATTGGGCTGTCAATGCCAGTTTTTCAGTGGAAGGCATGGTGGTAATAGTGTCCTGGGGTAAACAAGATATGCATGAAGGTAAAGGGGCTGATAGTGTGGTTAAGAAGTCAAAACGTAACCATGAAGCCAATTACTGAGCTGTGCCCAGATAGGGAAGGAGGGAAGGAGGGAAGGGAGGACACATAGAGAAAAGAAACACTTTCTTCTTGACATCGGGCAGACTGGGAATGAGATTTTAGAGGGGCCTGCAGATCAGTAGGGTAGGGGGAAGGGGAAGGCATCTGCCCAGTCAACAGACAGAACTGGGCTTCCTTAGGAACAAGGACACTGGGAGCATTCAGTTTGATTTCCCCCAGAGTAGAGCCTGAGATAAGGACTCAGGTGGGATAGGCTATCCTTTATTTGGAAGGTCAAATGAGAAAGCAAGAGGGAGGGAGAAGATTAAGTTGGGAAGAGGAAAGCCAGTAAGAGCCTTTGAGAGGCATTAGCAACCTCTAAGAAGTGTATGGAGGAGCTGGGTAGGTGGCTCAGTGGTAGAGCGCTTGCCTTGCATGCATGAGGCCCTGGGTTCAATTCCTCAGCACCACATAAGCAGGAAAAAAAGCTGGAAGTGGTGCTGTGGCTCAAGTGCTAGAGCGCCAGCCTTGAGCTGAAGGACAGCACCCAGGCCCAGAGTTCAGGCCCATGACCAGACCCCCCCCCCCAAAAAAAGTGTATGGAATGTCTGAGACAAAAGAGGCTTGACCCATTGTTTGAAGATTGTTCAAGAGGCACAATGCCACTCCACTTGTCCTTGAACTTGTAAGCATTTGAATTATCCACTGAAGCTCCTAACGCACACACCTCAAAGCAATGGTAGAACAGTTCCCATGAGACAGTGCCTCATAATATCCCCAAATAGGGCCATTTGGGGAGTTTGAAGAAACACTAAATGCCAGAGCAATGCATCTGTTTACGGAGTGGACCTGCAGAGTGGGCTGCAGGTGTCCTCCCCATAGACAGGAAGATGAGATGTTCTACCCATCCTCCACCACAAAGCATCAGAGCAGAGTTTATGTGGCTTTAACAAGTTTGGTTTAGGGTTTGGAGCAACAACCCAAACATCTTTTTCCATGCCTTGCTTAGAAGCAAGTCTGCATGGGAAATGCTGCTGTCTGGGTCACAGAGCAGTCAAGGCACTTTGTTTTTCAGCCAGGACCCAGAAAGCAAGGTGGGGAACTGGGAGAGCCTATACAGAGGCTACCAGGGCTGGTATTGGTAGAAAGATGGATCCTGATCAATCCTTCCCACACTGCTTTCACAGTGCTAGCCTCTCATTTCCTCCAAGCTCTACCCAAGCTCCCACCTCTTCAATTGTTTTCTTCACTAAGGCTGCAGCTTATGATTTCCCCAGTAGGTGGCAGCACACACACACACTGCAGACCACATGTAACGCAGCTTCTCTAAAGGTGAGAACCACAAACTTGTCACTGGAAATTTCTAAAGATATTAAAAACTAGAGGTCACATTCTGTTTTCTTTACATAGCTCCAATTTACTCTCACCAAACACACTCATGCTTCTATGGATGTGCTTGGCCATCCTACTTCCAACACCCCTCCAAGTCCCTCCTCCTTCCCTCCCCCTTGGACTCTGTCCTTACTGGCCAGGCATAAGGGGGCCAGAGTCCAGGCTTGAGTCATTTCCTACCTCACCAAGGTCCTAGCTTTGTAACAGAAAAATAACACTTTAGCCCCTGCACAGCAGACAATCACCCGACTCTGAAGCCACGGGGAAGCAACTCTCCCACTCCTTCCCTCTACCATGGAGTATCTCTCAGCCTTAAATCCCAATGGCCTACTGAGGTAATTTCTAATCCTCCTCTCTATATATTAATACTAGGGATACCGGCAGGTGGGACAGCAAAACATTCAGCCCCTAGGAGTCTTACTTCCTATCCTCCTCTCCACTCTACAGGTCTGTCCCAACTCATGAGCCACTACTCCCCACCCCAATTCTATAACCTCTTTGGCTTATCTGAAAATCTAGGACCCTCCCTAAGTCCTTCAGCCATCCCACCCCTAGAATTACCACACCCCTCACCCCATCTGGACCTTTCCTTCCCAACTACCAGGTCAGTGTCTAACATTAGCTCGGAGTTAGGCCGAAGGGTCTGGACTTCAGCTCCACCACCCCAGCGACCTTTCCGTGTTTGTGACCACAAGCGGACAATCCGGAAAGGCCTGACAGCAGCCACTTATGGGGAATTGCTAGATAAGGTGAGTGAGGCAACTTCTTGGGTGACTGCAGTAGAGGCAGACAAAGGACTAGAATAGTGACAGCCTAGAATGATGGTATAGAAGGGGTTGAGGTCACATAACTTTCAAATATAGGGGACAAGCCCCGTGAACCACTGCATTTGGGTAAATTTTTGTGTGTATGGCAATTCTGGGGCTTAAATTCAGGGCTCGGGTGCTGTCCCTGAGCTCCTTTTGCTAAAGTCACACTTCACTCCTGGCTGTTTTAGTTTATTGGAGGTATTTCTCACAGACTCTTCTGCCTGGGCTGGCTTCAGTGATCTTCAGATTTCAGCCTCCTGAGTAGCTAGGATTATAGGCAAGAGCCACTGGTGCTTGACAATTTATTTTCTTTGGGAGTAATGAAGCAGTGGGAAGAGCTGGAAGGATGGAATTCAGAAGTCAATATAAAAAGGTGATTTGTATGAAAATTCAATCCAAATTGGTTTTGCTACTTCCTGCCAAACCTTGGAGCTCTTCAACTTTTAACAAAACCTGTTTATCTGTACAATGGAAATGAGATACCTTATAGTGTTATTAAAGGAATAAAAGCAGGCATACAAAAATCCTCAGATACCTGGCACACAGTAAGGCCTTCAAAAAGTTAGAAACGGGGGCTGGGAAGGTGGCTCAGTGGTAGAGCGCTTGCCTTGCATGCTCGAGGCCCTGGGTTCGATTCCTCAGCACCACATAAGCAAAAAGAAAAAAAAAAAGGCCAGAAGTGGCGCTGTGGCACAAGTGGTAGAGCGCTAGCCTTGAGCTGAAGAGCTGAGGGAGAGCCCCCAGGCCCAGAGTTCAGGCCCCACGACCAGACCCAGAAAAAAAAAAAAAGTTAGAAACGCTGGAAATAGTTGTGGAGAACTAAGAGTAGGAAAGGGTGGTATGATATTGTAGGTGGATGTTTTTCAAAAGATCTTAGTACAGATTGTTTTTCTGGATGGTATCTAAAGTTGCTCAGTCCGGTCTGAATCCCTGGGCTCAAGCATAGCATCTAGTTTGGCTCCTAGCTAGATTTTTGAATTCCAAACCAGCAGGAGTCTTGGCTTAGAGGGAAAGAAGAGGAGGGGAACATAGAGAGCTGCCACCTTTCAAAGGGAGAGCACCAGAAAGTTGAGTTGGTGTATCAACCAGTGCCTAGGGGTGACTGATGGATATTGGGCAACTAAAAAGAGACCATGGGTTAATTGCCCTCTCCCTCCTTCTTCTTGCTGTGGTACAGGCACAGGAGATGCTGCTGCTGCATGGAGTGCTAACATTGGTGCTGGAGGAGGATGGAACTGCAGTGGAGAGTGAAGACTTCTTCCAGATGCTGGAAGATGACACATGCCTGATGGTGCTGGAGCAGGGGCAGAGCTGGAGTTCCACCAAGGTAAAGCCCATGCTGGGATAGTTACCAAACTTTTCAGTCTCTTCCAAGCTTCTCTAGCCTAACTCTGATCTTGGAGGCAGAAGAACTGGAAACGCTATGGAGTTGTCAAACGCATCATGTAGCAGATGTCTGGGGATATGGGGATCTGACCTAGTATCAAGGGGTTGGTGGGAGCTATCAGTGAATGCGGGTCTACTGCACTGATGGGAGTATCCTACAGAGCAGGGTGCTGACATATGGCCTGGGCCGAGAAAAACCGAAGCACAGCAAGGACATCGCACGCATCACCTTTGACGTATACAAGCAAAGTCCCCGAGACCTCTTTGGCAGCCTGAATGTCCAAGCCACATTCTATGGACTCTACTCCATGAGTTGTGACTTTCAAGGAGTTGGTCCCAAGAAAGTACTCAGGTCAGAGATCAACAAATATACAACTCCATCTTTTACAGCTATCCTTGTAATTCCATCTCCTGTACTCACTTATCAAGCTAGCTCTCCCTTATGCAAACCTCCCAGCCCCTAGCTACACTGCCTCTTCTGTGTTCCCCTAATTATCTGCTTTTTTGTGTGTGTGTCTGCCTTTCAGAGAGCTCCTTCGTTGGACCTCCTCACTGTTACAAGGCCTGGGCCATATGTTGCTGGGAATTTCCTCCACCATTCGCCACATAGTGGAGGGGGCTGAGCAGTGGCACCGGCAGGGTCGCCTCCATTCTTACTGAGGTGCTGAGCTTCTAGCCTGACTCATTCCATGAGATACATTGAGAAGATTATGACATCATGCTTTGGGACCTGCAGATAGTGAAAGCTAGATAACTCACTTGATTTTTTCCCCACTGTCCTCTGATCCCACTTAACAGAACCTGTCAGCATAGTTCCTTACTCCTCTAGTCTGTACCTTTTTCTGAAGAATGCTGTTTTACATGTATCTCCACCCTCCCGCCCGCTCTGAAAGGCCACAAACCTATCCTCACATATCCCAATCCTATCCTGACTGTTGCTACCTCTAGATCCATACTAACTCCTAAGATCCCCAAGCAATGATAGCCCTGACATTACCTGAAGATTTCTTATCTTCATATTTTTCTCCTAAAAAAGAAAAACATTTCCAATAAAAACATAAAAATGTTTACCAATGATTTTTTTAAAAAACAGGATTTGGCTATGTGGACCAGGCTGGCTTCAAACTAAATTCTCCTTATGTTAGGATTAGATATATGGACCACAATCCACAATCCAGTAACAGTTTTCTTTTTGTGGAACCTGGGCATGAATTTAGGAGCTTGTACTTGCTAGGCAGGAGCTCTACTACTAAGCCACACCCCAAGCTTTTTCTGTATTGGCTATTTTTTGAGATAGGGGCTTGCTTTCTACTTGTGTGCCTGCCTGGACTGTGATCCAACTATTTTAAGCTTCTCATCATAGATAGAATGACAGTTTTTGCCATTGAGAAGGAGTCTCATAAACTTCACTATTCAGGTTGACTCTGAGTTGTGATTCTCCCAATCCCAGGCTTCCAAGTAGCTATGATTATAAGCATGAGCCACCAGTAACCTGCTCAAGTAAGATTTTTGACTCCAACTTTAACCAGGAAGGTATGGAATGGGTACTCCTCCTTTGACTTCCTCTTCAATACCCATTCCCAGAACCCAGGGCCTCAGTCTTCAAGTATTGAGTTGAATGCCTTCTTCCGCTTGGCGACTGCACTCTGCTGCTCTTCCCAAGCTGCCCGTCGCTTCAAGAAGGTAGTCAAGGCCACATTTCGAGCAACATGGTGGCCAAAAGGGTCTTTTATTAGCTCTTGGTTCTGCTCTCCTGCAAAGAGAGTCACTCATGTTTAGTGCTTTTCATGCTCAGACAGATTCTACTTGGGATGAAGGTCCCTCCATTTCCCCCCAGCTCTGGGGCTGCCACTGAGATAGGTGAAAATGTTACTATCAAAACGAAAGAACCTGCAGGTGGGGAGCACAAAGGACTGTATAATCAATCAGCAGAGAAGAATATAGGACTGGGAATGTGGCTTAGTGGTAGAGTGCTCGCCTTGCATGCATGAAGCCTTGGGTTTGATTCTTTAGTACTACATAAACAGAAAAAGCCAGAAGTGGCACTGTGGCTCAAGTGCTAACATTGAGCCAAAGAAGCTCAGGAACAGTGCCCAGGCTGTGTTCATGCCCCCAGACTGGCACAGACACACACATACACACACACACACACGGCAAACTAATAACCCATGACCAAGACCACCCTAGCTATCTGGGAAAGTTTGAAAAATACTAAAGAGAGACACTAGTACTCACCCAACTCAGCAGCAATTTCCTTCCGTGCCCCCAAAGCTGCTCCACTCCAGATGGCATCTAGCACACGGCTGCCATGGCGGCTACAGGCCAGAGACACATACTGTCCCTGCATTGAGACAAGCAAAGTCCTTCTCGGGACATGCACAAAAGTGCTTGGGGGGAGGCAGGGAATAAAGTTTCAGAAGAATTTAGAAGGAAAGTCAAAACAATTTAGGGACTTGTATCCCATTCTTGATTTTGAAGGTATAGTGCTGGGGGAAGTTAATTTTCTTTAAATGTTTGAAGGAAATCAAGCAGAAGTTAGAGGCCTCACCTTCAGAGTCTGTAACACACGGCGACGCTGCTTGCGTGTCACAGAAGGGCTGACCAGGATGGCATCAAGTACATGGGAGCCAGCAGGGCTTTGGGCCAGAGCCACAAGCTGTGGTCCTGTCAAGGCACCTAAACTTCGAAGAACAAGACTAGGGGTGGAGAAGTGCAGCAGATGCTGGAGCAGTAGAGACCCAAGTACAGTTACTTCCCCCAGAACCCTGGCTGAGGCCATGTCCACCTGAAAGAAAATACAGAGGTAAGAAATCAAGGATTGGAAGTGTAGCTCTGCTGGGCTTCAGAGCCAACCAAGGGATAAAAGTGTCAGACATCGCCGGGCGCTGGTGGCTCACGCCTGTAATCCTAGCTACTCAGGAGGCTGAGATCTGAGGATCGCGGTTCAAAGCCAGCCTGGGCAAGAAAGACCGTGAGACTCCTATCTCCAATAAACCACCAGAAAACCGGAAGTGGCGCTGTAGCTCAAGTGATAGAGCGCTCGCCTTGAGCTGAAGAGCTGAGGGACAGCGCCCAGGCCCAGAGTTCAAGCCCCACGACCGACCAAAAAAAAAAAAAAAAAAAAAAGTGTCAGACATCAAGTTTGAGTCCAGTCTCCATTAACAAAAGAAAAAATAAGAATCAAGATGCAGATGGATGAGTGCATCCCCAGGATGAGGTCATCACTTGGATGATTTCAGAAACCTCTTCATTCTTTCTCAAGGTGCTGCCCAAGGCCTGGCCTCCCAATTAGTCTCCTTCCTTCCTCACCTGGTGCTCTGCAGGCACTGCCCCCTCCTCCTCCATTAGTTCATAGTACACCTCATAAGCTGTCAACGTGGCAAAGAGAGGCACACAGGCTACTTGTCGGGATGAGGGTTCTGCACAGTGGAATGCCTAGAAGGAAGATAAACAGTAGCAACTCAACTTTCTTTTTTTTTTTTTTTTTTGGGTCCGGTTGTGGGGCCTGAACTCTGGGCCTGGGCATTGTCCCTCAGCTCTTCAGCTCAAGGCTAGCGCTCTACCACTTGAGCCACAGCGCCACTTCCTGCTTTTTTTTTTCTTCTTGCTTATGTGGTGCTGAGGAATCGAACCCAGGGCCTCAGGCATGCAAGGCACGCGCTCTACCACTGAGCCACCTTCCCAGCCCCAGCAACTCAACTTTCTAGACAGGAAAAACATTCAGGAAGAATGAGATGGCCTAAAACATTCTACGAGAAAATAAGTTCCCTGAGAACAGATTCTCATCTTCCTTGCTTTGTACCCCGATTCTATGCATGTATCAGAAGCTGAATAATCATGTACTCATCAAACTTCTCTCTCGGTCTGGGAGACAATTTTCATTCCAGGACTAAAATGAAGATTAGAATGAGATGGCTCTTGGAATTCACTTTTCCCTTTATCTGTGAACTTCCTTGGCATTAGACCTCTTGGGTCCAGATTTTGTAAGTCCTAACTGGTAGACTTAGACTAAGGGTATCAATAGGTTTCAAGTAATACTCACTTACCTCCAACAACCGCTGCAAGACCTGGGCTTGGTGAGCCCCAACTCTGCGGCAGGCCCCTACCAAGGCAACAACTACACCTGGATGACCCTGGGCCAACACAGCTTCCAGGGCAGGGCTCAGTTCTTCAAACACACAGGACAACTGAAAGGAAATAGGGGATGAAAAATCTTTGACAGGATGGTAATGATAGGCTGTATTAATGAAAAAAAAATCTTCCTACTGAAAATAACAAAGCGCTGGATAAAACACAAAAAAGCAATGTTAATGTCAGGACTGTTTTGTTAGGTAAGGCCTAGGAACAAAAAGGCAGTCATAGAGGTGCCACCTCACATAGGTAAAGGACATTTTTTTACTTTTATTTTTTGTCAATTGTGGGGCTTGAACTCTGGGCCTAGGCATTGTCCCTGAGCTTTTCAGCTCTACCACTTCAGCCACAGCGTCACTTCTGGTTTTCTGGTGGTTTATTGGAGATCAGAGTCTCACGGACTTTCCTTGTCCGGGCTCGCTTTGAACTTTGATCCTCAGATCTCAGTCTCCTGAGTAGCTAGGGTTACAAACCCAGCAGCCAGCTGGGAAAGGACTTTTTTTATTTACTTGTTTTTATATCAGTCCTGAGATTTGAATTCAGGGCCTGAGGACTGTCCTTTAGCTTTTTTGCTCAAGACTGGCACTCTACAACTTGAGCCACAGCTCTACTTCTAGCTTTTTTGGGTGATTAACTGAAGATAAGAGTCTTGCAAACTTTCCTGCACAGGCTGGCTTCAAGCTACAAATCTCAACCTTCTGAGATTAACTAGGATTACAGGTATGAGCCACTGGCACCCAGAAGAGAAGCCTCTTTGTAGATGTAAGGGAAAACTAAGTAAGAGAGGACTGGAATTAAACTGCCCTTCCACTCCAAATCCAAACCCATGAAACCCACAGGAAAGCCACCACAGTGCTAAGCAGCAAAGGTAAAGAGAACCTATGACATTAGCCAAGTGCTCATATGGCCATGTAACTAAGTGCTTACAGTCTGGGGAGGCCATACAAGTTTAAGCTTCAAATGTGAATTAAGGGGGCTGGGAAGGTGGCTCAGTGGTAGAGCGCTTGCCTTGCATGCATGAGGCCCTGGGTTCGATTCCTCAGCACCACATAAGCAAAAAAAAAAAAAAAAAAGCCAGAAGTGGCGCTGTGGCTCAAGTGGTAGAGTGCCAGCCTTGAGCTGAAGAGCTGAGGGACAGCGCTCAGGCCCAGAGTTCAAGGCCCATGACCAACAAATGTGAATTAAGCTCATCTCCTAAGTGGACAAAGTGGCATACAACCCTGTAATCATAGCATTTGGAACTAAGAGGCAGAAAGATCATGAGTTTGAGGCCAGCCAGCCTAGGTTACATAGTTAGGGACTGTCTTAAAAAAAAGAAAAAAGAAAAAATCAGGTGCTAATAGCACCCCCTGCTTCCTAGTTTCTTTTCTAAGGGCAAGCCCAAGGTTAGAAAAATGGAGGGTCCTTCATCCCAAGTAGAATCTGATCATATGAGCATGGGTGGCACTAAATATGAGTGGTTCCCCCTACAGAGGAGCAGAACAGGAGCCTGGAATGCTAGATACTCAAGAGGCTGAGACGTGAGGATTGCTGTTCAAAATCAGCCCAGGCAGGCAACATGAGAATCTTAAAATCCAATTAACCATCAAAAGGCTATAAGTAGTAATGTCACTTAAGTGGTAGAACACAAGCCTTGAGCAAAAAATCTAAGCAAGAGTACAAGGCCCTGAGTTCAAGCCTCAGTACTGGGACCACCATCCCCCAATATTTTTTTTAAATTAAAAGTTGGAGACATGGTTAAAGTAGTAGAGGGTTGCCTAGTAAGCATGAGACCCTGAATTTAAACCCCAGTACCTTCAAAATAAATAAATAAATAAAGCTACACACAAATTTCATTGGCCAAAGCATGATAGCACATACCTCTAATTCAGGAGGCTGTTTTAGGAGGATCATGGTGTGATGCCAGTTTAGGTAATAAATTAGCAAGGTCCCATTCACAATAAATAAGCAGGGCATGGTGGTTCATAACTATAATCCCAACTATTCAGAAGGCACAGGTAAGAAGTTTGTGGTCCAAGGCCACCACAAAGCAAAGTAAGCACCAGACACTTACCTGGACATTGTGGTGGCTCATACCAGTAATCCTACTAAGGAGGCTAAGATCTGAGGATCATAGTTCAAAGCCAGCCCAGGCAGGAAAGTCTATGAGACTCTTATCTCCAATAAACTACTCAGAAAAAGCTAGAAGTGGTAGAACACTAGCCTTGAGCACAGACAGGCTCAGGGACAGAGCCCAAGCCCTGAGTTCAAGCCCCAGGACTGGCAAATAAATAAATAAAGCACTAGACCCTATCTGAAAACTACTAAAGCAAAACAAAAACAAACAAAAACGCTAGGAACATGGCTCAAATGATGAGTGCCTACCTATCAAGCATGAAGTTCTGAGTTCAAACCCAGTACCACCAAAAAAAGCCAGTCTCTTACTGGTAGTCCCATCTCTGGCAGGAGAACATTTTTATCTTATACTCTGGCAAACCTTCAGGTACAACTTTATAGGGCAAGGGCAATGAGCAACACACTGTTAGACATACATAGGCACATACTAAGTAAGACCCAATGAAAAGAAGAGTAGAAAGAGACTCCTCCAGATTTCTAACTCACCAGCTCAGGAGAAGTGACTGCATCCAATAAGCGTTGCAAAGGGAAGTTAGCAATGGGATGTGCAGCCAAGGTCAGCAGCTGACCCTGGAAGTGATCTTCAAAGAGACTCTGGAGCTTTGGGGGCTCTAACACCAACAGCACCTGTTCTAGGAGTCTGGAGCTTGTCTGATCCTGAAGAAACATCAGTAGAGGGCTGAAAATAAAAAAGGAATCAAGAAGTTTTAACTCTACTTCATGTAAAACAGTTACACCCTACACCTGACTCATTCTACACAGCTAGTCAATCCCAAAGTTAAGCCATACCTTCTGTCTGCTGAGGAACTGCGAGTACCCAGATAGCCAATCACAGCACTGCAGAGATGGGCACAAAACTGGGGCAGTTTGCGGTGTAAGATATGTAAGGCCACTTGAAGACAGAAGCTAGAGATCTTGTCAGTGATAAACACTGTAGGGAGAAGGCAGAAATGATTTTGTATCTACATGGATACAAAATGTCCACAAAGAATGCTTTGCAAGAACAAACCACAAGTTTGAAGAAGAGGAATGACCTTAAGGGCCTTGCTTGGCAGCAATCTCCAGCAAAGTATTTCCAAGACCATCTTCTTACTTCCCTCCTTACCAGCAATGTCTTTCAGAAAGCAAGAGCTCAGGTCCTGAAGGCAATTCAAGAAGGTTTCTGGGACTTCAAAATCAGCAGGCTTACATTCCCGAGCTGAGGTCCTGTGTGCTTCTGAAAGAAGATCAAGCATATTTGCAGTGATGAGATCACAAACTGCTATCCAGGAAGGAGAACACCACAGGATGACTGACCTGAGATAATGTTTCTGTTTCAACTTTTCTAAGAAACTTTAACCAGCTCACCCGGGGTCCACAAAATTTAACTCAAACTCCTCAACCAGGTATGTTAAGAGTAGTCCAAAATCAGATCTCATTTAAACATCTCAGGTTGAGTACAATGTTGAACTTCTGTAACCCCTGATAGTCAGGAGTGGGTCAGAGGCAAGCCCAAGGCAAATTCAAGCCAAACTAAAACAACAGAAAACCATGGGGCTAGGAAGGTGGCCCAGTAGTAGAGTGCTTGTCACACATGTATGAGGCCCTGGGTCCGATTCCTCAGCACCACAAAAGCAGAAAAAGCCAGAAGCGGTGCTGTGGCTCAAGTGGTAGAGCACTAGCCTTGAGCTGAGGAGCTGAGAGACAGCACCAGGTCCAGAGTTCAGGCTCCACAACCAACAAAAAAAAAGAAAAGAAAACCTTGAAACTCTGAAAAACAAGCTATAGCAAAAAGGGCTTAAGGTATGGCTCACGCTGTAGAGTAATGCCTAGCAAGAACAAGGCCCTGAGTTCAACCCTTGCTAACACCAAATAAACTCTAACCTTATTTTCAAGAGTTTCTCAAAATGAAGGTCACACACTAGACTCAAGTGGCTCACACTTGCAATCCTAGCTACTCAAGAGGCCAAGATTTAGAGGTTCTAAGTTCAAGGACAGCCATAGACAGAAAAGTAGACTCCATCTCCAAAATAACTAGCAAAGAACAAGACTAGAGGCATGGCTCAAGTGGTCAAGCTGCATGTAAGCTAGTAAGCATGAGACTGAGTTCAAACTCCAGTATTGCCCTAAATGAAGGCATAAGTAAATAAACAAATAAATATGATGATGTAGATCATAAGTTGTGACTGTATGATATAATCAAGTTAATGATTTTAATCAGAATTCTTAAACTAGAACAGACTAAAATTTTAAAAAGAAATAAAATAATCAGAGTGGGTTGCACACAGTAAGGGTGTTGCCTCCTGAATTTTACCTGAGTTCAATATGTGTATATAGACACACACTAAGTCAAGGTTGTGTTTTTTGTTTTCTATTACTGAAGAGCGAGATCACTATCTCAAGGCCTCATACTTAGTAGGCAAGTTGGCTATCACTTAAATCATGCCTGCAGCTCTTAGTCATATTTTAAAACGATTTTTTTTTACTGTGGTTATGGTATTAAAAAAAAATTAGGTACTAGTGGCTCATGATTGTAACCTTAGCTACTCAGGAGGCTGACACCTGAAGGGGCGTGGTTTGAAGCCAGCTTAGGTAGAAAAGTTGACTAGAATTCATCTCCAAAATAATCAGGAAAATACAAGGATGGAGTCAGCTTCCAAGGTTCAAGCATCAGCTTTGTGAGCAAAACCAAGAGAGAGCAGAGTGTTGAAGCCTGATTTCAGGCAGTAAGTTCAAGCCCCAGTCTCAGCACACACAGTCTGAAATATATTGCTGTAATGAAGCATCTCCCCTCCTTCCTTCTCCTGCCATATTAACAGCTGTCCCCTAAACGCATAGTGTGCATACACTCTATGCATACACTCATCACTGGTCTAAACTCTGCCATAATTCCTCGGCTAATTCAAGACCAAGTTCCTCCAAGAAGACTTAATCTGCTTATTCTCTTCTTTAGAACTACCAAGTCCTTTCCTACCAAGTCCACTTCCCTTTCTTATACTTACTAGATGATTGGGAACCTCGGTGCCTGGTTCTCTCAGATTCCAGAAGAGTCCCGCCTAAGACCTGTAGGAGAGTTCTGACCACGAAGCTGCCATGAGTGTCTCCACAGTAGAAAAGAAAATCATCAGATACCTCGGAAGCTAGTCCCAGGACCAACTCCTCCAAGCTTTCCAAGACACCATCCTTCCCCTGCTCCTCTTCCTCCTCCTCCTCTTCCTCCTGCTTGGCGGGCCTCTCCAGCAACCGAGGCAGCTGCAGCAAAGCACTTTGCAACACATGGACCCCACACCGATGACAGGCCACAATACGCAAGTTGGAGCGCAGAGCCGCCCATATTCGACACAGTGGCTTCAAAGGACTGAATCCCAACAGTTCTTGCAACATCTCACTGCCAGTCCTGTTCGTGGCCAAGGCCAGGGCTTGAGCCTCCACTTCTTTCAAAATATTGTGCACCATCAGCTCTAGAAACGCGAAAAGAAAAGAACTATTTAAAACAGATGGGAAAGAGGAAAACTATGTTTCATTGTTGAAATTCGGGACGAAGGGCAAAGACCGAGGAAGAGGGCATGAGACATAAAACTCGAGTTCCCACGCCCCAGGGACCCAAGAGAGTCCCCTACCCGGCGGGTCCTGGATTTTATGCTGTTGGCTGGAACCCCGCCCCTAACCTCGCTCTTCCCCGGCCTCCGGGGCGTCTTTCAGCGTGGACAGCGCCCGTCGGAAATATCCCAGAGCTTCGGGGCTCAGATGCGGAAGGGCATCCGGAGTCGGCTCTGCCTGCCGGTCCGCAGGCGCGCGGGAGTGCCGCCCGCGGCCCGGCGGAGGGCGCCCCGACCCCCGGGCTCCGCGTCCTCGTTTGCTGCCAGCAGGGAAGCGGCGCCCCGAGTGGGGAGGAGAGCGTGGTCCCAACCCCATGTGTGCTGTGGAATAAGCGGTTCTCACGCCGCCCAACGCGAGCCGGGTCCTGACGGACTTCCGAGACGCCCGGCGCGCTCCGCGTGACGTCAGGGTTCTGCGACGACCTTCACCCGCGGCGCGGTGGGTGTGGCCTCCGGGTGGTCCGCCCAGACACGTGGGTTGGACGCCGAGTCCTGGGCCCTGCCCACTTAGTCCCCTCCGGGAATCGCTGTGGACTTCAGGTATTGTTTCCTCGCTTCCCCTCGGCAGACACGATCACTCATCTTAGGACTGCACTCTGACCTGGACGGGGGGGGGGGGGGTCCCGCCCATGGCCAGAATAAAGTTCTCCAGTTTCAAGTCTGGTGAGTTGGACAGAGCGAGGACCCTTTTTGAAGAAACCCCAGAAACAGGATGGACTCACATGTTCTCCTCACTAAAGGCTCAGGAGCCCTCCCCGGCTTGGCCATACTGGGGCCAGGTCAGTGGCCAGAGCTCTGGAGAACTCAGGGCTTTACGAAGATGGCGCCCTAAGGGGCTGCTTCTCCAAATTCCTGCACCTAGTTAGCCCCATACGGAGGGTCGCAGTGCCTCCCGAAGAGCTGCTCGCAGCGCCCTTTTCACCCTGTAGGCCATCCTGGCCGGAGGCTCACATTCAGTTGTGCTCCTCTGATCCGCTCCCCTCCAAGGATCCAACCTCAGCTCCCGCTTCTGTCCCTAGCTGGGTCCTGACTCCACACACAGTCAGCACATTTACCTCAAAAGCGTCTCCCCCCAGCCTGTCTTCAACAATTTTAATTTTAAATTTATTATTGTTATTATAAAAGTTATGTGCAGAGGGGTTACAGTTGCATAAGGAGGGTAAAGAGTACATTTCTTCCTGGACAATCACTTTTTCTCTTGCTCTCTCCCAGTTTTTCCCTCCTGTCCCCACCCCAAGGTGTATCGTTCATTTTCAACATAGTGTCCAGTGAGTACCATTGCTGCTGCATTTGTTTGCCCCTCCATTTCCCCTCCATTTCTGTGCTTCCCCTCTACTCAAAATGACATATAAGCAAACAAATAGGACAAAAAGAAAAGGAAAACCCTCGTTTCCATTTCCCAGAGCTTATTTCAACAAATATTATTTTGTATGATCAGATGCACATAGTCATTGTTCCTCTAAAAGCGTCTCTTTATCTCCACAGGTGTCCTTTGAGTTATGGATGTTCCCATGAAGGGCCAAGTGTGTGTGGTGACTGGTGCCTCCAGGGGTATTGGCCGTGGGATTGCCTTGCAACTCTGCCAAGCAGGTGCTACAGTCTATATTACTGGCCGCCATCTGGAGACACTTAAGGCTACAGCTCAGGAAGTGAGTAACTGACCACCTGAAGAAGTCTTTCCAAATCCCTTACCTGACACAACATGACTTGAAAATTTACTAAGAATAACATAAATAAACCATGAATAAATTTAGATTGGACTAAGATTTGCTAAGTACATTTTATGGGGGGAAAAAACTTTCACTTGAGGGCTTAAAATATACAGCTAATCTTTTGGACCTGTGCCTTCCTCTATTTTAAGCAAGACTTTATTAAATTATACATTTTCCCTTTCTACTGGAGTTTAGTAAAATAAATAAAAACTTGAGTATCTATGAATTGCTAGGCATTGGGCAAACCACTGTGGTTTCCAAGAATAATAAAATACAGTTTTTGCTCTTAAAAGATAGAGTCCAATAGGACACGACCATTTCAATGTAAATATGATAAGAGGGAAGATATTAACAAAAGGTTCAAGGGGCAAGGGATGATAGGGCATCTAGGTGATAGGGAAGTGGACAATGTATGCCTTGAAGCAAGTCTTGAAAGATAAAAATTAGATAAAGTTAGGCAACTCATTCTAAGATACGTGAGCAAATAGTGAAAGAGTCGGTCATTGTGAGGTAAGGTAGGGGAAGAGTAGATGGTGAGAGGCCAGAGGAGGAATGAGTCAGAGGCTGCGGGTAAGCTTTGTTGTGGAATGTTTGCTTGGCAATATGCAAGGCTCTAGGTTTAATCTCTAGCACTGAAAACAAAAACAAACATCCTGATAATGAATGTAGCCTATTTGTGTTTTTATGGATTCTTTGTGGGTTTTGTTGTTGTTGTCTGGTTTTTGTTTTGTTTTGGTGCTAGTACTAGGGCTTGTACTCAAGGTGTGGGCACTGTCCCTTAGCTTTCCCCCTCCTCAGGCTGATGCTCTATCACTTAAGCCAATTTTTGCTGGTTAATTGGAGATAAGAGTTTCTTAGTCATGGGGGCTGGGAAGGTGGCTCAGTGGTAGAGTTGCTTGCCTTGCAAGTATGAGGCCCTGGGTTCAATTCCTCAGCACCACATAAATAGAAAAAGCCGGAAGTGGCGCTGTGGCTCAAGTGGTAGAGCGCTAGCCTTGAGCTGAAAAGCTAAGGGACAGCGCCCAGACCCAGAGTTCAGGCCCCACGACCGACCCCCCCAAAAAAGACTCTCATAATCGTTTCTCCCCAGGCTTACGTCAAACCCCGATCCTCAGACCTCCACCTCATGAGTAACTAGCTGGCCACATTTTTGTTTTAGATTGTTTATACTGACTGGATTATGGAGAACTAACTTAAGGCAAAAAGATTGGAGGTCAAGTGAGCATTTAGGAGGCATCTCAATAATTGAAGCAAGGGGGTCCAGAGCATGCACCTGGAGAACAGTTCTTAAATAAGGTACTCTTCTACCTTGGATGTTGGAGGATGTGGACACATTTGTAGCAGGTGAAGCAGAACAGAAAGTAGGAATGTTTATACCTGATAATTCTGGGGTTTTGTTTTTCTTTATTTCTTTATTTTGTCAGTCGTGGGGCTTGAACTCTGGGCCTGGGCACTGTCCCTGAGCAATTCGGCTCAAGATGAGCGCTTTACTACTTGAACCACAGCTCCATTTCTGGTTTTCTGGTGGTTAATTGGAGATGAGAGTCCCACAGACTTTCTGGCCCTGGCTGGCTTTGAACTGTAATTCTCAAATCTCAACCTCATGAGTAGCTAGGATTACAGGAGTGAGCCACCAGAGACCAGCTTTTATTTTTATTTTTTAATATGTGGTATTTATTTTATTTGTTGTCGGTTGTGAGGCTTGAACTCACAGTCTGGGTGGTGTCCCTAAGCTCTTGCTCAAGGCTAGCACACTACTACTACTTTGAGCTATAGTATCACTTCTGGTTTTTGGAAATAAGAACCCCACAGAGGGGCTGGGAAGGTGGCTCAGTGGTAGAGCGCTTGCCTTGCAAGCCTGAGGCCCTGGGTTCGATTCCTCAGCACCATATAAGCAAAAAGAAAAAAGCCGGAAGTGGTACTGTGGCTCAAGTGGTAGAGTGCTAGCCTTGAGCTGAAGAGCTGAGGGACAGCGCCCAGGCCCAGAATTCAGGCCCCATAACCGGACCTCCTCTCCCCCCCCCCCCCCCAAAAAAAAAAAAAGAATCCCACAGAGACTTTTCTGCCTGGGCTGTCTTTGAACCGAGATTTTCATATTTCAGCCTCCTAAGTAGCTAGGATTACAGGCATGTGCCACCAGTGCCCGGCTAATTCTGGGTTTTTAGTAGCCATCAAGAGCATTGGTAAAGTGAGGGGAAGAGGAATGGGACTAGTAAGGGTTCTAGGTGAGTGATAAAGTAGGTAGGAGCTTAAGGATATGACAGTTAGAAAGGACAAAGGACAAGTGTCATTTGTTTCTAGGAGTAGGCTGCATGCATTGTCTTTTACCTTGGCTTTCAGAGCATAGTGCCTTGCACTTGATAGACCTTAGTAAATGCCTGTGATTTTGAACCTTGACATCCCAGTCCTCCTTGCTGTGTTCCTGAAACTCCTAAAAAATACACTAGAGGGCAGTATTGCCTTGCTATATTAACTCAGCTTTGCTTTCCCTATCACGTTCTCAGTTCCCAAGCCCATTTAGTTAGGAAATTATGTTATATCTCACACTAGTGCACAACTCTGCGTTCATGTCCCCTGTTCCTCTCCAGGCACAGTCCCGTGGTGGCCGTTGTGTGCCTGTGGTGTGTGATTCAAGCAAGGAAAGTGAAGTCAAAAGCCTTTTTGAACAAGTGGATCAGGAACAGAATGGGCGGCTGGATGTGCTGGTCAACAATGCCTTTGCCGGGGTCCAGGTAGCCTTTGAGTTTGATCCAACCCCACATTCCTTCCCTCCTTCTGAGACCTGTTAGTACTAATCCCCATTTGTTGTCTCCTCCATTAGTCATTCCTTTACAATCTCCTGCCCTCAGATCATCTAATCAGTCACCCTCCCTGTGCCTTCTAGACCATCCTCAACAACAGTAAGTCCTTCTGGGAAGCCCCTGCCACCATTTGGGATGACATAAACAATGCTGGACTCAGGTGAGTATTCCCTGTGACTCTGTAAAACCTGGGCTCCCCTTGCTCAGAGAGCAAAGCCAGAGCCTTATCTTTTTTCCTCAGGCTTTCCTAATCTCTGTCTTTCTTTCTCCTTTCTGTTGATTTGTCTATTTATATCTGGAGAAGTACCATATAGGTGAATCTGTACTTGTGAATGTCAACTTTTTCTTGTTTTTTTTTTTTTTTTTGTCCGTTGTGGGGCTTGAACTCTGAGCCTGGCTGCTGCCCCTGAGCTCTTCAGCTCAAGGCGAGCACTCCATCACTTGAGCCACAGTGTCACTTCCAGCTTTCTGGTAGTTTATTGGATATAAGATTTCACAACTTTCTTGCCCCAGGCTGGCTTTGAACCGTGATCCTCAGATCTCAGCCTCCTGAGTAACTAGAATTATAGACGTGAGCCACCAGCACCTAGCATGTCAACTTTTGATCTATTTCTATTGGTCATTTTTATCTGAGAAAGCCTCTGGCCTTTCCTCTGTCTCAAGACCCGAAGGGAACTTTCCTGGAAATTCAGCAGTGTCAACAGTCTATAGTCTGTGCTTGTAAAAATGATTGGAGGGGTTGGGTGCTGGTGGCTCATATCTGTAATTCTAGCTACTCTGAGGATTGTGGTTCGAAGCCAGCCTGGGTAGGAAAGTTTGTGAGACTCTTATCTCCAATTAAGTACCAAAAAGAAA